ACAATCCTAATAGCAAATCTGAAGACATGAGTTAAATTTTCCCAGATCTTTCTAAAGAACAGAAAAGGAAGATTGCGTATTTGTAGTGTAGTGTTGAATATATTTATATTGTCTTGTTAATTGATTTGCTTTTTTGATGAAGTGTCATAAATAGTAGTGCCTTTCTACATATTGACATTGCACAGAAAAGAGAGATGAAAGGGTTAAAAATCAAGCAGGTTGGTCCGAAGTCTGTGCATTGCTCTATGGCCAGCTCATATTAAACATTCATATTTTCCATATGTAAAAAAAATATTTTCAAAACTATTGTTCAAAATCCACAATAACTTACTTTCATTTAGAGTAATTAACTGTCTAGTGCTATCAAACTGGATAGTTTACTATATATTTTATATCTTCTTACTATTCAAATTTCCACAAAATTTTAACTATGTTTATATTACCTGTCTCCTCTACAGCTATCCATCTGAGCTAATACTTTTTTTTATAAAATATTATTCAGATCAGAGATTCCACTGTTTCAACCTGCAGATGAAATACTGATCAATTTAGGACAGTCAGTATATCTGTATTCTGATGAAATCTGGTCTGCCACCACTGTATATGCTTTACCTATGCTATCTAAGACTTAGATTCTGCTGCCATGGGCTTATATTTAACCCCCCCCCCAATTTTTTATCTTTATTCTTATAATAAAAGTCTCTTGCCTACATGGGGAATTGACTTGTGGATACTGAGTGCCACCTAGTGCTATCTAGGAAGCAGCAGTCTGAGACACTGGCCCAATCCTGATGATAGGATATAGTCTAGATAGGTGCATCATCCAAGATTCTTCAAGAACATCAATCTTTCCCAATCCTATACCTTCCAGATGTGTTGACAATTTATTATCTGTAGCTAATATAGTTAGTCATCCTGACTATAGCTGTTGGAAGGTGTAATCCAATACATCTGGAGGGCAAAACCATTTCCAGAGTTAACCGAGTGGCATGGGCTAAAATAGACTTTAGAATACATAATAATTCACTTAACAATTACATAATAATGAGTGTCAGAGGTATTGGCCCCAGGACATTATTGAACACATCTGGCTTCCTCAATCATCCCATTTATAATTAGAAACAACACCCACATCACAGGATTTCTTGGAGGAAACATCACTTATTCTGATCCTCTGATTTAGGATAGTCCAAACTTTTCAACCCTGTGACTTCCAGCTGTGTAGAGCTATAATTTCCAGAATTCCTGGGCTAAAGGAGAGCTGTGATCTCTTGAGAAACTTATTTCAGAGGTAGTTATGTTGCTTCAAGTAGCCTGATAATGTGATTAGAGAGCAGGGACATGCTAACTAGCTTTGCCTGCTGACTTTTATCCCAGTTTCTATGCTCATTACTCTCCTGTTGCAGAAATAATGTCTATAGATGGTTGCAGTGCTGGTACAGGAATGTTACATGTGAGGCAAGGTTAGCCAGCATATTCCTTGTCATCACCTCATTGCATACATTGCTTCAAATTTTAACCGGGTAAATCTTGAAGCACTTCAAGACAACTGCCAAACTTGTGATCTCTGGATGTGTTTGTAATGCAGCTGCCAGAACTCCTAGCCAGCATACTTATGCATGTTTCTGTGTTTTGTTACTCAGAATAAACAAGGGAAATGTGTTGTTGTTGTTGTATTAGTTGCATAGTCATTTCTATTCATCTAGCGAGTCTTTTCTACGGACTTAGGATGATGATGATTTTTATTATTATTAACAAAACAGCTGGATTCTCTTTGAATAAATCATATAGATCAGTCTTTTCAATGACAGGAAAGCAGTAGAAAAGGTAGAAGTAACATCACAGAATCCCTCCATCCCTCTGTGTGTAGGGGAGGGGGCAGGAAACCCCTGGCAGGCACTGCAGTTCCCAGAGTAGAGCAGGATGATTGTTGTGTTTGGGAAGCTGTGTTTTGCCATCTAGGCTGAAGGGAGCTCCTCTGGGGATTCAGAGAGGGGGAGCTCCAGGAAATGAGATGCTCTTGGGCAAGATCTTTTCTTCTGGAGCCAAGAACTTGCTCACTGCTTTGCAAGCCACTCATAAGCTTCTCCAAGAGGACGGAGTTTGGACCATGCATGGAACACAGCCATGCGGCTTCCAGCTATGAATTGCAACATCCTTGCCCTGGGGAGGAGCATCTGGCTTGCATTTGTTACCTCGCCCTTCTCTGTTCCAGCCTCTGTTCCTACTCTGTTTCTGCATGTAGTACCTTGCAGAATACAGCTCACTGAATCAGGTCCAATCTCTCTCTGTCTCAGAAGGATCACAGTCATCAGTGAGCGTAAAGTTGTTTCATAAATCAAGAAATTGAGGGACAGAAATAAGATTTCCAGAAAATCACAGCAACAGGGCCCATTTCTGTCATTCTGCGCTGCTCAAAGCAATTGGGGTGGAGTTACTGTTTACAGTCCTTCAGGGAATGTATTTGTTTTAAAGCTGGCTTTCTTCTGGTTCTCAGTCAATCTTTCCAGCTGAAATGCTTTTCAGATTTGTTCTGGTGGGGTTTCTCACCCTTGTTGTGCTGTTTGTTTGCTTTGTCTTAAGAGCCTGTGCTTCATAAGCTTGTGAATAGATTTCTCTGGAGATACAAGAGGGCTCTGGCTGATATTGCCAATGTGTTTTTATTTAAAAGCAAATCCCACAAAGGCTATTGAAAAAAGGAAAAATCCAGAGAGGCATTATGAGAAACAAAATGTGGAGCCTAATCAAAGAATGTCTGTGTCAGCATAGCATCCCTATGTTAGATGTCCTCATGACATCACCAGTATCTACTTATCTCTTTCCATGCTTCTCTATATGTTTACAAAAAAACAAGGTTTTTCTGCACTAGTTCTTTCCTTCTGAAAGCTTCCTATAACTGTTAGTATTTCATCCTTGGTGCTATGCCACATTAATTTCAAGTAATTAGAATTTCAATTAGTTACATTCCCATGCTTTCTAAGTATAGATTTGCTTTTAAAAAACAACCTTGAAGACATCAGAACCACAAAATCCACTGATCAATTTTCTTGCATTAAAAAAAGAAAACATTAAAAGCAACCATAAGAACTCTGATTCAAATTAAGGCTACAGCAGTTCAGGAAAGATGTTAAAAATGATTTGTCCATGCTGTTTAATTGCCATTGTACAGCTTGAGAATCCAGTCCCCTTTTATACTGCAACACTTTTTTTCTGTCATTTGCACACCTGGTTAGTTTTCCCTTGCACACTTCAGCCTTGTAACTAGAAGCCCTTTGGTTGCTTATGTACTGCCCCAAGAAACTGGTTCTCAGTATCAATCCCACATCTCTATACCTCATCTATGGAGCAAAAGTGGGTTGGTCTTTTCTCCACAGTAGCTGTTTTCTCTCAGAGAAGCTCTTGATACCTTATGATAATGGGAAGTGGGCAGAGCTATAGTTCTCCCACATTTTCTTTCTCCCAGGGAGTGGTGAGATGTTGCATTGGGATTAGGGAACTGACCTCCTTGACCATAGAGCTGTGGGCTAGTCACTCTTTCTCAACCCCATTACCATAAAGTATTGTTTTTGTGCAACTAAATTTCTCATGCTCACTGTTTTCATTTTCCAAAGAAAAGGGGGATGATAAATATAGAATACTAAAATGCACTTGAATATTTAATATTGTTAAAATATTTAATATATTTGTATAATACTAAATATATTCAATAGTTCTCATAGCTGCTGTGTATATACACAGATGGCTTACAAACATGTTTTCTTTTTGTTGTTACCCTCATTTATATCAAGGCCACGGGAAGGAGCTTTGAATAAGCTGCCATTTTCAGTCCATCTGGCTGGGCAGAAGGGGGGGGGGGGGAAAGAGCTGACTTTATTTTCTGCAAGAACACTGCCCCCTTATGGCATTATAGATTTCCTAGAAACTGTTGGGATATGAATGCTGGGAAACTTAATCTGTAGTCATTTTCTTAATCTCAGTTTGTATGTAGCTGGAAATAAACCTTTTATCACAGATGTCAACAAAGCAGAGCCCTAAATAAGTGCTGGCATCTGTACGATTTTCATGACTGAGAACTGGAGGCAGATCCAGGACAATATTAATCCGTACTTGAAATCTCCAGCCGATTTTCTCTCTCCACTGCTAATTTGTATTTTTATATTTTCTGTGTTTTAATTTTCTTTATACGCTTTATTTTTAATTGCATGAAATGTATGCTAATATCCTATACTGCCTAGGGATCCACTGCATGTCAATATTATAAGATGCTAAATAATTGTGGTTGAAAACAAAACTTTACAGTAATCTGTCTCAATTTAAACTTTACAGTAATCTGTCTCAATTTTCTGAAATTTACATTTTTCCACCAAAGCAAAAGAAAACAAAACTCTCAGATCCTGTCCTTTTATGTAGTTCTTGCTGAGCCGAATATACTGTACTGTTGTCCAATAATTTCACAAAATAGATTTCAAAACTTTAGGTTTTAAGCCTGTATTGTTTTGTTATTTCCATTAATCTTGTTACCTTTCAGTCCAATAACGATACTGAAAAATACTTAAGCTGCTCTACTTAGCTTTTTAAAAATGCTTAAGGAACCAACCATATTTTAAATGTACATTCTTTCTACTTATAAAAGAACTCAAGAAGCATTATCTTTAGAATTCTATGCAAAAGTAACAAAGTCATCAAGGTCAACAGAATAAGCCTAACAACACAGCAGTAAGAATAAAAATCCACTTCTTCCATATAGCTGGCAGAACAAAAACATTGTCATCTTTTTTCTGAATGTCCCTTAAGGACCAAAGCAGGCTGGCTTTATTGTGGGAGAGTTCCATAAAAGGTGACATAGATATGGAAAGCCACAAGCAAATCCTTCTACCCACTAGTCATGAAAGGATAAGAAGTTATCTTCTGATCTGTGTGGTCCTAGGTGTTCTTTGGGATGAAAGAGCTGCAAGGAATAAAATTCTGCCCTTATGTCACAAGAAAAGGTTCATACTCACCTTATCTTGCTCTTGTCGCTTCAGAGCATCAAGTTTCACCTGTTCAATCTCAGACCTGGCATATTTCAGCTCTCTTTGTAACTCACTGAGTTTTTCACCAAGGAGATTCTTTTCAACTTCTTTCTGAGAGACTGCCTAAAGATGATGAGAACAAACATCCTCATCACTTTATCAACCTTACACTGTCCTGAATATAGTTTATGACTTTTATTTATTAACAATATTGACATTATTAACATATTTAAAATAGTATTTGATCTCAGAAATCTAGCAAGATCTGACCAGTTTAGGATTTAGATGGAAAAGCATCAAGAAATATCAGAACTATGGGCTAGACTGGGGATAGTGTAAAACAGGGGTAGTCAACCTTGGCTCTTTTATGACTCGTGGACTTCAATTCCCAGAATTCCTGAGCCAGCTTCCTGGCTCAGGAATTCTGGGAGTTGAAGTCCACGAGTCATAAAAGAGCCAAGGTTGACTACCCCTGGTGTAAAACATCATAGAAAGTGGACATGGGAAACCCCTTTTGTGCTGTTGCCAAGAATGTTACAGGGATGTGTCCATGGATTTATCAGGACAGCACACTTTTTCAAAGTTACCCTAAAGCAAAATTCTCAGGGACGTTTGTCAGGAGAAACAAAATCGTATTTGATGGATGGGCAGGAAACATGACTATTTTGTTTACTTTTTCCTCTATAGAAGTCTATAGCCTGTCAGTCCTGCAATTCTTTTTGATATCTTTTTCTGTTTACCTCAATTGCCTTTCTCTGTTGCACCCAACAACGGCTGCTAGCAATTTTCAATTTACACTTAACTCAAGCCATTGCAATACGTATTTTATTTGGTTTGGGCTAAGATGTTACGGTGATTTGTAACTATGATTTATGGAGCAGCTCTTTATTTGTTCAACAAAGTGTAACTAAAATAAAGCACTAATTGGATTGTATTATGTGTCCGGTTACAGTACCAAACTGCAAGAGAGATCTGGCATGGAAGGTCAGCCAGCTGCAATAACTCTAGGGGTCAGGGGTAATTCCATGGAATGGCACTGGGACTGCCTGCTTTCCATTTTACATGAATGATACTGTCTAGTAAAATAAATAAATATTCTATTCCCATTAAAATAAGGTCTGTAGCGAATGATATCAAAATACCTCAGGGATACTGAAAACTATTAGATATTAAGAATGCCTGGATCAATCTCTTTCCAGTCTATTTCAGTTTCTTTTATGCTTACACATCAAAAAGTTCTAACTCTTCTATTTCAATCTGCATATTTTTTTAAAAAGTATGAAAATTAGCATTTTAACATACTTTCCCACAATATATGGATATTTATTATCTACTTAATGCTAAATTAAGAACGTTACTTCTTTTAAAAAAAATCTATGAAAAAGAAAGGATAAACATATCCCAATTTCCTTATTAATCCAGAAAAAGTGAATGAGGTTTGTTTCCTTAAAAATATGAACCTGAACAAATTCTCAAGTTTTCAATTTCAGATAATAGAACCAGATGCAACTCTACTACTTCCAAAAAATATTTTGGTGAAAATACCCTTCTTTTCCCTTCTGAATATTACCCAGTATGGAGAATATTGACAGTCTGTGTTCATTGAGCTCTGAGTAAATCCCTGTATGTAATGTCCTCAATAGATAATATCACGGGAGAGATGGGGAACAAAGTTTCCTTCTGTCTTGTATAACCTTTCAACTATTTCCTCTCACCTTTTGTTTTTCATTTTCTAGCATAAGGAGGCTTTCATCTCTGCGCTGCTGCAAAGTGAAGATTTCCTCCATGAGCTCCCTTTTCTCAGCTTCATACTTAGACACCAGTTCTTCCTTCTCTTGCTGAAGACAGCTCACACTTTCATCTTTTTCCTCCATCAGGACCAGACGTAGGATCTCCTGGTATCAGCAGTGTATTGTACAGTATTTATCAACTAAAATATTACTGAATATGAGCTCAATATGATTAAAAGCCTGTCTCCTGGGACTTTTTGGAAATTTTGATCTCAGAGATTCTCAGTCATCCAGAATCTTCATAGACATTTAACTATGCACTTTGGGTTGATCTCAGAGAGTTTCAGAGTACACAGAAAATAAACTTTTAATAAAGGCACCCCAAAGAAGTTTTTTCAAAAGGCAACTGAAGACATTTTGCTTCTCATCCAAGAACTTCAGCCAGAACTTTTACTGAATTCATCCTCCTGATCTGCTGTTTAGTTCTATGGGCAACGTTACTCAAATGGGTTGAGCTGAAAATTGGTGGCTTAATTCTTAATCAGTTTTGAGATGAGGAGGCATAAAGCTAGGTATGGAAGCAGTTTACTTCCAAAAAGCCTCCTAGTCTTATTAGCAGTCTTATATTTGCATTTTTACTTGAACATTGTGCAGCTGGATTTTGCATATATTAGTCCATTTCACAAGATATCAAGGATGGGAATTAAAGACTTCCTTAATGTCTTCTACTTCCACACCAGTCATATTTTTGAAATTAAAGCACAAATATTTGCATTGATGAAATTTGTTATTTTGCAATCTCATGGTATTTGCAAATGGAGTACTGGGCGATGGACTATCATCCATGCATGATATGCTTGGAAATGATTTTGAATTGTGGATGATGATATTATTGGTGAAGTTACTTAGTTGGATAATGAAATGTCTACAAGCAAACAACCAAATTCAGAGAACACCAAGACTTCACAGTTTAACCGTGAGCTACATATATTCACTTCTATTCAAATTCTGAATTATAATATGCAATTTATAAAGAATTATTGTTCATGGATGTATTAATATAGGTTTCTATTACACTTTTCTTTCCATGGATCGTCTATGTGGGTCCTTGTATTTTATCATCTTAATAACTTTATAGTATAGGTTAAAATAAGTTGACTTACAGCTAATAACCTGAACTCAGTCACTGAACTTCATAGCTAGAGAGAAAAGATACCTATTTTAAGACCAAACTTTTGCATAATACATTCTATTCTAGTTCTGTATTTTTAGTAAGATACAGTTATTTCCTCAATTTATTAAAAAAAATAAAGAATCTTGAGTGTGCCAAGGCATCTAGTGTATCTTCTGGTTGCTGGGGTACTGGCAACAATATGTTCGCTTGCAAGATAATCTCTAGATTGGAGACCCTAGTTTGCATAGAATAGCAGAAGCACACCTTGTATAAAACTGGGCTTTAGTTGCACCTGTGGCATAATGGCCAAAATGTTCCCAAACTGGCATTGTATCCTTACCATAATTGGGAATGCTGCATGCTGTATAGGAGAACTAAATTGGTAACCTAGTCTACTCTTTTTAAAAATATTATTAAAAAGCATTACATTAAAAGGCTTGAGCATAAGAGAATATATATTGAATATTTCATGCTGGTCTATGTTTAGCTGCAACAATCTTATGGTTTATTAAGCAAATTTATATGTTCTTCAATCTGTCATTCCAAAAACCAGGAACTGAAGATCTATAATCTAATATTCATAAGAAAAATGAATCTGCCAGTCAAACTTGTTAATTATGGTATTTCTTTACTATCCTTAATTTCTTACAAATCTTGACCCTTTTATGTATAGAATTATAAGGCTGGGGGGAGGGGAGGTCAACTTGAAATGTATCCCATCTCACAATCATCCTTCTCAAAGACACATGACTGATATAACTAGGTTGAAGCTGTAATTCTTCACAGCAGACAGAGGAAAATGCAGTTATATACTTTTCTCCAAGTTACTTAAGAGAAATATATTAGGAACTATTAAATAATGACAGTAGAATAGACAAAGAGAATTTATCATATTTGCATCAAAGCTCTTTGATTCTATTTTGTCCATTTAATGGCAATCTTAAGTTGTTTATGTTAACTCTATGGCAAAGTATTACAGTAGATACTACTCTCTCTCAGAAAGTTTGAGATGATCCGTATCCTCATAATGAATATCTATCAACCCTAGCAAGGAGAATGATCTCATAGCGGATATACATGTAAACAGCTGAAAAAAAAATCAAAATTCTTTTATTATTTAAATTATAGCAATGAGGCAAATGTATTCTTATAAATCCAACAATTGTTCTTGTAGTGCCTTAAACAATATTTTAATGGATTCTGATGAAATAAAGTGTGGTTGATTAAAGTTCCTGTAATTATAAATCTGTTAATTTTTGCCACGTGTTGGTTTGTTGCTTTTACCCCCCAAACAAACATAGCTACCAACTATGGAGCCTGATATGATGTATTAGAATTGATTTTAGTTTGGGGAGGCAAGGGCTATTTGATACCAACCACTATAAATTGCTCTAGGACTGTTGATTTCTTGAACCTGCATAACTGACCTTCTCTTTTCTAAGAGTCCCAAGGTCCTCTTCAAAAGCTTGCTTTTGATGTTTCATAGACAACTGACACTCTTCTTCTGTTTGAGTTAACTGGTGCTTCAACATCTCTCTCTCTTTTCTCAGGGTACTCTCCTGAAGCTCAAGTTCTTGCCGAACCTTTCCTAATTCCACTGTGAAAGAAAACAAACTCTACTTAGAAGACATTCTTAGATATTCTCCAATACACACAATGTTGAAAAAGATTTCAATCATACCAGGCTTCACCATTGTCTTTTAGTTCACTGATACTATTCCTCCAAAAGATAATAATCCCATCCTCTAATTATTCTTTATTCATAGTATTTTTAAACATTGTTTGCTCTGATATGTTTTGTGGTATCTGCTTTTGAATTTGGTTGTAGCCACTGCTAACCACCTTGCTAAAACTGCCAGAAAGTCAGAATAAAATAGAGAAAACTACAAATAAGGTCAGTTTTTCTAGATCAGGCCAATGGTCCATTCAATTCAGCATTATGTGTCATAGAGTGGACTATCAAATGCATTCAAGAGCCTCAGAAACGTGCATATAAGGCTCATAGCCATTTTTTGCTTCCCAGAAAGTGATATTTCAAAATTACTGTTTCAGAAGTCAGCATAGAGCTCTCTATGGGATTAAGACTATATCCCATCAATTTTTTAAAAATTATAATGTTAATTTCAATAAACTTTGAAAAGTAAAACCAATCAAAGAACAGGAGTAACAGATACAAAGCACAAAAGAAACAAAGACCATCTACTTCCCCATTTTTTAAAAAAATATATAAGTACATTTATAATCTTAAACAAATATACAAGATTGTAACATATGCAAGCTGATATGCAACACTGTTGTCCAAAAAGTAATTTGTTGACAGGTGCAATCTGGAGATCAGATGTGATTAGAACAATCTTTCATTAAAAATGCTTCATTTCTTAAAGACACAGAGTTGCTGTGTTTTATCATCTCACAAATGAAGATGATCCAAAAGAAAGATGTACTTTAGTTTTTTAATATCCTGTTACAGCAAAATTGATTTTCTAATGTTGTAGAATCTGATGTCCTGAGAAAAATGAACCATAAAACTAATATTAATTATTGAAGACTGTTAAGTATTTTTCCTGCTTCTTGGAACATTTTCTTTGCTTTTGATGAAAATGAATGATGAAATGGGCACTGCACCCAGAAAAAGTAGTAAATACGAGTTTTGATTGTAGATCTTCCAAAACCATTTAGAAAAAAAGTTGCAGCTACTTTATGAAATTGAGTCAGTATCTTTTCTGTTCAAATAATATGACTGTTAATTGAAAAGCACCAGAACAATTAAACTGAATATGAATTAGCAGTGTGATATGGTAGCAGGAGAACTTATTTATTGGAAGCTAGACACTTGGCTTGGTAATAATACCTGTAAAAAAATTACCAATTGAAAATGAGTCTGCAGTGTGACGCGGCTGCAACATTTTGATACATCATCTCATAGCTCATCTAACTGTTCATGCCTAAATCCAACTGATAAACAGGTAAAAGCTTTGGTATCAAAACAGCTTCTTGAAGGCTTCACTTTGCATATGGTTCTAGCGTGAAAATGTTTATTTACTGCTGTTCTCTATTTTCTGTGTTTTCATTAATTATTATGAGAATGCTAACAACCAAGCTGTGTTGGGCATTGTCTTAGCACAAAAGTTTTTTTAAAAAATTGCCTTGCATAAAGTGGTTTTAAAATATCCAGCTAAATTCCCAGAATTGGATAAAAGATTTCCGTCTTATGAAATATTGTCACTCAGTAAAAAAATGGGTGCAATGCAGACATGCTTCCTCGTGGTGCACCCTGGGCAACGTGACTTTGTTGTGGCTAATAGTCAACACATTCTGGCTGCTGGACCTCACAAGGATCTCTCAGGAAGAAGCAGCAGCATGAGTACCGAAAATAAAAACAACAGTTAATGCTGTATTCTGTTAGGCCATATAAAATAAATAAACTCAGTGGAAAAACTCAAGACTTCCTGAATTTTTGAATCCAAATGTATTGTTGAATCAGATTATGCCTACTGTACCTTGGAGTGCCTTCCTGGAAAGATCAATGCCTTGATTTTCTCCTTCTAATTGTTCCTTGCGGGCCTCAAGTTGAGCTGCCAGCTCTTGTGCCTCAAAAAGGCTGGTTTCCAGGGATTCCTTCTCTGTTCTAAAAGCACATTAGGATATAATCAGTGCCAATCAATTAGACTATCTTCACCTTGGATCTGCAGACATCCACAAAGCAATATTTTTAAAAAGAGGCTGTTGTTCAGCTAGTATTTACCGGTAGTCCTCAACTTACAACAATCCATTTAGCAACTATTTGAAGTTACAACAACACAGAAAAAAAAGACTTATGACCATTTTTTTTACACTTATGACTGCTGCAGCATCCCCATGGTTATGTGATAAAAAATTGTGTGCTTAGCAACTGGCATATATTTATGACCGATGCATTGTCCCGGAACCATGCTTGTAACCTTCCCAGCCAGCTTTGGGTCATAAGTCAAGGGCTATCTGTAATATACATGTTTGTTGGCATTGGTAATACAACCCACCACAGGATCTGATACCACTCACTCATGTGAAATCCAGAAGGCAAGATTTCTGCATTGTATTTGTGGGGAAAGATACTCTGAGAACCATAAACATTAGTTTTAATTATAAGAGTGCATCCTGCAGTTTTCTTAGCAGTAGTACCAATGTAATTTGGCATTGCTTTCTTTCAAGATTTTTTTTCTTACTTCTCAGTTTAGCCTATATCCTGGGCTTCTCTGATGTTCTCTCATCTAAATATTAACCTGGCCTGACCTTGCTTAGCATTTAAACCCATACTTGACAATGTTGGCTAGATACCACTGCTAAAACAATTGTAAAATAAAACATAAGCCTTGGTAATGAGGAAAAAGTTGAAAATCACCATATTTATTCAGATTTCCTTTAGTTTTTCAATCACTACAGACATATTAATCAATACAGAACTAAACATTATTTCATTGAGATTTTAAAAATGGATTTGCAGGAGCTATATGATAACAGTGACAGACAAGAAATTAACCAAGATGAGAAAATAGCAAGCACAGTTTTATAATCATTTATAAATATCTGACGTGGGACACCAATAGTTTAGAGAGCATTGAGCATTGAGAAATCCAGCTTTGCAACAGTAGGAGCTGGAGTAATCAATCTGAAAGCAAAGTCTGTTCAGGAACTAATAATTCTCTTCAAGTAGGTCTTCATCACTGCTACATTTGTGTATAGATCTTACTTTGAACTACAGTTCTCCTATTCTCCTCCATAATTGACTTTTTTGCCCCAACTGACCCATTCAACACACTGGGGTGGCTAAAGCAAGGAAAACTAGAGGCATTATTATAATTATTAATATACAAACAAGCATGCTTCTGTGGAATGTGGAGAATCAGTAGCAGCAAGGCAGAGCAAAAAAAAAAAAAAGATAGAAACAGCAAATCGGACAATTGGAAATATAAGCCATAGAGAAGTACCTCGTTAATAGAATAACAGAATAATAAAATAACAGAGTTGGAAGTGACCTTGGAGATCTTCTAGTCCAACCCCCTGCTCAAGCAGGAAACCCTATACCATTTCAGATCAATTTCTTCTTCTGTTGGTCAAGTAAGAACCAAAACACCCACCACCACCCAAGTTTGAGTTAGTTAAAGCCAACAATTAGTAAATAATTCATTTGCCAGAACAACAGTGTCCTTTAAAGGTTTGGATGATCTTGGGAGACAAGCAGCCTACTCCAAATTGAAAGAGAATGCAACAAAACTAAAGCTATCCAATTTAGACCAGGAAAAAAACCCTGTAAGTATTAATTTTCTGTGTGATGGTGAAACCATGAAACTTTATTTTAATTGGCTCCTCAGGTAGTTGGTAAAATAATGAATAAATATGATTCAGGGATGGGTTAAATATAAACTTACTGTAGTTATGACAGAATACATTTACAAGAAACTGGAAAAAATCTTCAGCTTTCCTGTCTCATTTAATATATTATGAGGTACTTCTCTATTCATGTGAACATTTGATCTCTGTTTTAAGTGTGGAACTCATGTGTTTAAGCAAGAATAGAGCAAATCTTACCTGATAAAAGTAACATAATCTCATGTGAGGCCAGTCATAACTGAATCATTAAGTTAACTTAAGCTTTAAGTTAATCCACAAAGTTACTGTTAGGGAATCATCAAATCATAGAATTGAAAGGAGTGATTTAGATCCAAATTAAAGTATTCCTGATAAATGGCTGCTCTGCTTGAATATATTCATTAAAAGGGAGACTTCCACTTCCCTTGGTAATTGATTTCAATAGATAACTGTTTTTACTGTTAAGAAATTTTTCCTGATGTTCATTCATAATTTGCATGCATTTAACTCCAGGTCACTGTTCTGTTTCATGTCCCATTGTTTCATCAGAGATAATCATTACCTGAGAGTGTCTGTCTCCTCTGTTAACAACTTCTTCTGTCTCTGCATTGCAGTGAGCTCCACAGCCAGCTGTGCCTTTTCCTTAGCTATGTCTTCCTTCTCTTGTAGCACACGGATGAGTGAATCCGTCTGCATTTCAATCTCTCTGTGGCTCTGGGCCAGTTGCTCACCTAGAGTTTGTTTCTGGCTATTCAGCTGGTAGAATATGGATAAAAACATACATCAGAGACACAGATACTAGTAGCAAGGGGCTGAAGAATGTATAAAAAAGGCAAAAGTTCTAAAGAAAAAAAGATATAAATGTAATTAATAAAATGATCCATTAATTTTTTTCTAAAAAGAATCTTCTTTCACCCCTGTGTTCATTGTGTTACAACTTTGAGTGGAAGTCTTCTATGAAAACTTCTGGATTCCTTCACAGAAACTATTATTAAAACGAATCCTTTATATCTTAACATTTACAGCCTTTAGAGGTTTTACAGATCTATTTATATCCTTGTCACATAGCAATCCTTGGATCCTAATACTATTCCATATACCTAACATGCCAGAATATAAAGACAGGGGGAAAAAGGTGTCCTTGGTGGTAGGGATGCAAAGTTATAGATTAATGTACTCTCTCCATAATGTTAGCAATCAAGAAATACAATAAGTTTGGGTGATTTGCATAAATTCATTTTCTTTTGGCTATAGAATGTAAGTTTGTCTAGTTGTTTACCAAGCTTTGCTTGTCATCTTTCCAGAGTTATCCAGCTAAATGCAAAAGTCTGAATCAGAACAACCAAGTTGATCCAAGCTGATTCTGATGTACATACTTACTTTGCTGTGATAAAAAGCCTCCTCATCTTTTCATACCTGCATCATTTGGTCCTGTAGCTGGACTCTTTCCCTTCTCAGCAAGGCTATTTCTCCTTCCAGCATTTCCCCTTTCTCTTCGAAGGCTTGGCAACTCTGCTCCAACTCTTGTTTCTCTGCCCTCATGTGCATCTGCTCCTTTTCAAAGAGTGCAAGTTGTTCTCGCCAAACCACTTGCTCTTGATCCAGCTCCTGCTTCCTCCCTACCAGCTTGCTCTTCTCATCTTCAAGCTACATAGTAAAAGGGAACACAGGGATGTACAAGTTCTAGAAGTGGGAGGACAGAAGGTGGACAGGAACATAAATGGCAGGCTTAACTTGAAGTCATGCCAGCAAAGGGAATGATGCAGAAATATTGCAATCTTGCAGTAACTTTATTTGTAAGTTCCAAACTGCCTTTGAGAATAAATTAGCAACTTTATAAACACAGACCGCTGGATCAGGAATCAAAAATCTTACACAGATATGCATCTATGTAGATATATACTGGTGTACACACACACACACACACAGAGAGAGAGAGAGAGAGAGAGACAGACAGACAGACAGACAGACACCCACAAACACACTTTTCTCCCTTGCCCTTTCTTCCAAGTCAGGTTGTTTGTCTGCTTACCTAGTTCTGTGTTTTTATATTGACAAATTTCTACCAAATGCGCAACTGTCAAATGGAAAATAACAACAGGACAGAAATATTGATAGTTTGATTGTGGATCCTAGTCAATATAGATTTGGCATTTGTGCTGAAAAACATTTTAGGCAAAATTTGATTTAAATTTTACACACAGACTTGCACATTTCCAGCCATCTGCAATTCTCCAGCCTGCAATCTTAAGAGCCAATTGAGATGTATGTAATTAATATCCACATTATTACTATTACTACTACTACTACTACTACTACTACTATTATTATTATCATCATCATCATCATCATCATCATCATCGTCATCATCATCATCATTGTAAGGGCAGATACAACAGTGGGATCACTACACAGGGTTTTAAACTATTCCCATTTGTCATTGCCTTAATGAAGTTACTTCAATGGATATAGTGTAGGCAGGTGCGCTATATCGATTATAGGGATATATGGATATAGGTGCGCTATATCCATATATCCCTACCTCTCTCTCACCTAGGAATTATATAAATTTTATTTATTTGTCAAATTTATATAGCTGCCTATCTCACAAAACAAGTGACTATATGTAGAGGCCCAAGACAAAATGAATGTAGGAGAACAATTCAAAACATTGTTATATAGCAACGTCAAACAGCAACTATCACAAATGGCTCATTCTCTGCAAGCTTTTGCAGCAGTTCAAATTTCAGATAAAATTTTGTAGGAATGAAAACGAATAATTAACAGATTCAATATGGAATGGAGAATAAACAAGAGTAAGATTCAAAATCTTACAAGATTGAAAATATAGTAGTAGACTTGTTTTTTGATATATGATACAGAGATAGAATAAATTATAAACAGCATAGTAAAATGGAATGTGAAATATCAAAGACATAATTACATTGTAACAATGGGAAGAACTATAGAAAAATCAATAAAATTGACTCCAAGTTACAATTTTAGAAACAATTGTTACAAAATGTTTTATAGATAATTTAAATCCCTGTCAATGATTCCCAAAATGGGCAAATCTAACCAGTGGTGGGATTCAAATATGTGAATAACCGGTACTCTGTGTGGATGCTGCTTCCAGAAGTCCATTCTGGGCCTGGCCAACAAAAAATTAGCTACCGGTTCTGCTGAACTGGTGCGAACTGGCTGAATCCCACCACTGAATCTAACTATAATCAATGTGGGAAATACAATAATATATATATAACACATTCTACCATATGCACTGGTTTTATGTTTGTGTGTTTGTGTTGTATGTGTGTCCAAAATACTGGAAGGAAATAACACTAAAACTTTATGGTTTGTTTTTTTTAAAAAAAGAATTTTAATTAAAACCACACATACTTTTACTAGGAATAATTCCAGAGAGCATAAACAAAAAGTATCATAATCTATAAGATATGTACTGGCAGTGACCAGAACCAATTTGCTACAATATTAGAAAAGTGAAAACCTGCCAATAATACAAGAATGGGAGATTAAAGTCAGAGAATATGAAGCAATAGCAGAGCTCATTATATATATTTATTTAACTAAGTTCATGCAAGAATTGCTCCCTTTTCTATAATATACAAAAAGGCAGGTTTAGACATTTGGAAATTTTTTTAAAGAAAAAAGAAGTATGAGTTCAATTATAAAAATATCAAATGAAATGGTTTAAACAAATGTAAATAACAATCTCCAATATTTCAAGAAAAGTGCAAATATTTATGTAGTGATTAGAAACAGGGACTATGAAAAGAAAGGGAAAAGGGGAGCTATTGAAAGTTCCTCCTTACGATAATTTTTCTGTTTTGCTTTTGTTTTGTTTCAGTATCTCACTTTTCTGTATTCTGTATTCTTTATTATTATCTTGAAGAGTATACTGTACTATGCTCTTTCTCTTGAATAAAGTACAATTAATATGTTTATTTTCAATTTACGAATCTGTTAGTAGTTTTCATTCAATATTTAAATCTTTAACACTTGAAAGTTGTTATTCATCAAGTGCAAACAAGCTGATGTGTACCATTACTGTTCTTTGCTAAGGTCTGTTCATAGCTGTAGAAGAAAGAGAAACAGAGCCTGAGGGCAGAGTCAAGCGAGGAATCAGCCTGGAGTTGTTATGTTCCCATAAGAGGTCCAAGTCCCATCCTTCTTGAATTCTGTTAACTCTTACCTAGTGCCAATTTAGTGCTGACTGTTAGTTGACTAAGATTCTTGTGTATAGGCATGAGCAATAAATAATCTCAACTGGAACTGGTCCTGATTCTTCACGCCTGACAATAGTACAGTTACTGTAGTATCTTGTTACCTGTAGGATGATGTGGTTTAGTTTGATTTTGTCATTTGCTAGTCCTTCATTCAGAGCTCCCATCCGGGCTAGCGAATCCCTTAGTTCAGCATCTTCTGATTTCATCTTGTGTATGGAGAGTTCAAGCTCAGTGTTGCTGGCTTCAACCTGAGGTGGAAATTGTAGGCATATTCAGATTAGACTACACTCACAAAGTCATCAAACCTTATCATTTTTACTATTTGGATAAACTGTAAGCATGGCAATTAGTTTTTAATGACTAGTTAATTGGTAATACAAAAATCTCTATCTATCTGCAGGACATGGTAAATAATTCTTTAATTCTGAATGCATATTTACTCCAATGTCTCCATCTAGTCCTATCTGGATTGCTCTCTTCGATACAATGCATGGATTTCTGAGAGAAAATGCATACTTTTTGAGTGCTAGTTGTTTGATCAGATGTTGGTTAAAATAAAGGTTATACAAAATTATTAACATAAAGATCGAGGAAGTTATTAAAATATTACATTTTAAAAATGTAAATCTGACCAGGCCATTCCCTATTCAATGCTACTCAAATTTAACTGCACCTAAAACAAGACAGAGAATGATCTTTGGCATCCATAAGTACAAATGAAAGTGCTATTTCTCTTTAAGATCATTATGTAATCAGAAATATTCTTATTAAGAAAATGCCATTTCCCTTCCAGAAATGTTAAACAGGCCAAAAGAGTGGGTGGCAAAAAAATTCTGCTACTCACTTAAGCTGAGCCAATGTGAGCAGCTGTAGTAGTTTTTACTGAAGTTTTTGACCAATACACTTACTCATGAAGGATCTGCCCAAAGATTTCATTGAATCACAGGATTGGTGGGCATAATATTTCTGAGAAAAGAGATCTAACTTTGCACATAGATTGCTCTTTTGAAATGTTAAGCTCTGAAAATATGACAGCATGCAAGCACTTCATCCATAGTTCTGCTTTTTTCCCCTCTAAAGCTGTGAAAAATAAACTTTGGCTGTTTTTTTTCTACAGCATTAGCTTGTTTCAGATTTCCTATTTCCCCGCCCCTCTGTCATTGCTTTGTAATAAAGTAAAGGCTAATTGTTTTATTGTATGCTTTTTTCATCATCAGGAAAGCAACTGATGATCTTTATGATTAGAGAATGACATATTCTAGGTATTTTAAACTAGCTTTCTCCAATCTGGTGTCTCTGGCATTTTTTGAAAACCTGATGCTTCAAACACTCTTTTCTATAGTTGTAATATAGACCTGATGTAACTAAGGTAGCCAGCTTTCTTCATTCTATGTGTTCATGGTTTCCATTTGGAACTCCCACCCCAAATGGCTAATTATTTCTATGCTGATTCAAACAGTTCAAATTCGAGTGGCTTATAATAATGGCAATTAAGGTACAAATAACCACAGTCAAATATACTGTTCCAGGGACAAAGTTTATATATTAGTCTAGAGTAGACTGACTGAGGTGTCAGCATTCAGCTGGGCAATAACAGTTCAAGGTCAGGGTCAAGTACAATACCAATCTACAGAATTAAGGTCAGTACTATCTCACTTTTGTTTATTTAGCTGGAAGCATCACATCTATGCTGGAATCAACATCTTTTTATGTTTATGCAAGCAGAAACTAGTAAAATAAAGAAGTACTTAACACTTCTTTAAGGTTTTACATAGAATATCCTCCATAAAATATTTCTTAGAAAAGCAAGATACTGCGACAGTGTGAAATGTTGCGGCAAGACTACTTCTGAACTGAAAGTGGAGACATCTCCCAAGTCAGGGCAAGAGATGGGAATAGAGTCGAATGGCATGCAAAAACACGTCAACAAGCAATCCTTACTTTGGAAAGTGCTTTGCTCAAGCCTTCCTTTGCGCTCTCCAGTACATCTTTCTCCAGCATGGCTTGGTTCAAAGATTCCTTCACATTCACTAACTCTTTCTTCAGGACTGACATTCTTTCCTCAAGTTGCTCCTGAGACCTTTGCCTGTGAAAAGAGAAAAGTCTAATTAGGCTTTGCATAAACCATAGCAGATTATGCTGAACACATTACAGATGCATCCTGAATGTGTGGGGATACCATGTTTGTATTCTGAATCTGAGTTGGTGAATATGGATATTGACTTGCATGATAGCCTCTGGATTAGAGATCCTAACTTGCATAAAACGGAATGAGAATATCAGTGTGGAAACTGGATTTTGGCATATTGGCCAAAAGATGCCAAAACATATTTGTACTGTCTTTACATTTATCAAGGAATACTGATGTAGTCGTTGACAAGATTGCAATAATGAGAAAGTAAAAGATCTGTTAGGATACCCCATTCCAGGATTTTATTTTAAATCCCAGGCAACCATGACTCTGGAAAGGATTCAAATTAGACATTAAGGACAAATAGATGTTCTTACTGTTCTTCTCCAGTAGCAATAGCAATTAGACTTATATACCGCTTCATAGTGCTTTACAGCCCGGTCTAAGTGGCTTACAGAGTCAGCATATCGCCCTCAACAATCTGGGTCCTCATTTACCAACCTCAGAAGGATGAAAGGCTGAGTCAACCTTGAGCCATTCAGAATTAAACTCCTGGAGTGACCAGTGAGTCAGCCTGCAGTACTGCATTCTAACCACTGTGTCACGACAGCTCAGTAACAAGTATTAAAGTTGTGCTGTCTCTGATTGTGGAATAACAATTAACTATAGTCATATCTAAGTTTATTGTTGACTGTGTTCTCCATAAATATCTACATTTTTAAATAATCTTAAATGATTGCCTTCATATATCGCAGCATCCAATTCCACAATTGTTGTGTAAATAAGTGCTTTCTGCCTATTTTTCTATCTTTAGTTATACCCTAATCCTAATTAATTAGCCCTGAAATTTTGTAGCAATTTGACAGGACTTTCTTAAAGAGTCTGGGGCTTCCACTGAGTGAAAAGGATTTGTTCTTCACAGATTACTTTTCCACCCACATAATGGAATGTCTCAGCTGCTCTTCTACTAACTGCTGCCTACCAATATCCTCTTGTCCTATTCCTCTTTCATTACACAGTGCTAGAGACACAACTGCAGCATCTCACCCCCGCTCCAATTCCTTCCGTGTCCTCTCCCTTTCCTTAATTGCATCTTCTTTTTGCTCTTCAAGGAGTTTTCGCTGTTTCTGTAGCTCTCCGTTCATCGATTTCAGGCGCTCTACCTCCAGATGGGAGGCATCAAGTTGTTGAGTCTGGCTTTCGACTGCTATCTCCAAGGCCTCCTTCTCTCTGAGAAATGAAAAGAAATATGAACAATTTTGGGCAAATATCATTCAGACCATGGGCATGCCCTTGCCTGTCAGAGTGGAACTATCTTTGCATATCTCTAAAGACCAGTTGCTTCTTTGCAAAATAGGGCTTGGATGAATAATTCATTTTCTATCAGAAAATGTAGAAGGAACAAGTTCACTCCCTCCCCCATCAAAATCGTTCCTTTCCAACTACGTTCCCCTCTGCTCTTTGTCCAATTATAAAAGCCGTACATTTGAAATACTTGTTGGAAGAAAAGTGTGAGACGGAACTGGAAGGGGAGGTGGTATTTGAGATGATCTCATAGTAGAATGGGTATATGGTATTCTGAGAATCCACACATTCAATTACAATAGACTGACAAACAAATAAATAAAACTACATTTCATTTAACATAAGGATCAAAAGAATTCCTTTAAACTGCTTCTTTGAAAAACCATGGTCATGATGACAGCAGTAAACATTTCGCTTTTGCATTATGGTAAAGAATGAAGTCCTTATTCTGCATACTGCCTTCCCAGGTTCCTGACTGGAAAGCTATTTATGATCTGGGACAATTATGGATTAAACAGCACTGCTAGCTGGCAGTAATGGGAGTTTGGGTCTAGCAATTGTTTCGTAGGCCCTTCCTATTGTTTGGATAAATGTATGTGGTGATGCAAAAATGCCCTCCAGCGAAATCTGACTCCCTATTGACATCAGCTGGTCCTGAAAATAAAGCCAGGAACAGTTTGATGGCAGTCCCCAAGGGTTGAGAGGACTTTTCTTTCCCAAGGGGAAGGCGGCAGAAATTGTATTTATTATTTATTTGTATCCCATCTTTATTATTTTTACAAATAACTCAAGGCGGCAACATAGTCAACACAATTTCTCCCTCCTATATTCCCTGGTAATAACTATCCTCGGACATGAGTTGAGCTAAGAGTAAAGGATTCGCCCAAGGTCCCCCAGTTAGCTTTCATGGCTAAGGTGGGACTAGAACTCACGTTCTCCTGCTTTTTAGCCTGGTGTCTTAAGCAAAGCACTAGGAGTTAGAACTTTATAAATGAATGTAGTGAATGTGTGAATTAGGGGTTCACAAGCACCCCAGTTATAGATGAAACCAGCATAGTTGATTTCCACAACACTCCCTAACCAAGGGAAATGCTGAGGATCACTCCCCTATTATGACAGTAGGAGAATGGACATTTATTTTTCTGCATATACTCTTGTACATGTTTATTACTGAAAAGCTGTTGTTATACACCATAACAGCTGTTATGTTTATCTCTTCTGTTTTTGAGCTGCTATTTCTAATATCTTTTTAAAACTGTTTTTTTTTAAGTTCAAAGCATATCAAAAGCAGGCAAGCTTTCAGATGAGAATTCAAACTATTTTTCAGTCATTGTCATATGACTGAAATGGAAAGAATTAAAGGTCATTTACTTAAACTTCAATTAAAGGCAGAATTATGACACATCGCAATCCAAATTCAAATGGATTGTTAACAGAATACATTACATATTAAGGGATGGTAGATCTTAAAAAGTTTGCTTTACTTGTCCATTTTGAATGGACAATTTTTGTAAGGATTTTTCTAAAACTCTACAAAAACATTAATTTCACTGGCTGGGAGTGAACAAGGATTACATTTATTTTTTTAAACTATGTCATCTGAGCCAGAGATCTCTTCTGGCTTTGCTTAACTTTAAAAAAATCCTTATAGCAGCACCAGGCTTATTGCAGATAGGGGTCTCTATGTGTTCACTGCTAACTGGAATAGCCATGTGACTCCACCATATCATATAGCAATTCTAGGAAGTCCTAGAGAAGAGAAAACATTTTTTTCTGCAAATATCTTAGCATTACTCTAAGGCAGTGATGGCGAACCTTTTAGAGACTGAGTGCCCAAACTGCAACCCAAAACCCACTTATTTATCACAAAGTGCCAGGGCTGCATCAGCATTATGGTGCCCTTAGGGGAGTGGGTGGGCATGGCCCACTGGGTGGGCGTGGCTGAAGTCACGGCAGACTGGGTGAGCGTGGCCGGGGCATGTCCCTTGCCATCTCTGGGGCATCCCCGGGGGGGGCCCAACACCGCTTGCTCGCTCACTTCCTGCCCTGTCACTTCCAAACGCCACATGCTCGCTACTCTGGCGAACTCTGCTGGGGCAACGGCGCGTGTGCCCACAAAGAAGGCTCTGAGTGCTGCCTCTGGCACGTGTGCCATAGGTTCGCCACCATTGCTCTAAGGGCTCCACAAATTTTGTTAAGTTAACGATGAAACATGGAAGAAATAAATTCTTTCACCATCTTGCATATGTAAAATATTGCTCATGAGGAACAATTTAAGGCATTGATATTAACCTTTAAAATCCTAAATGGTTCTAAATGTGCCTTTACCATTATTATTCTATCTAACAGCAGAGTGCTGCAGTAGAGGCCTTTTTGAAGATGTATTCTACTGCAAGAGGTATGTGTTTATGGCACTCACAAGGGAGTCTTTTGCATTGTTGTCAGGCTATAAAATGCATTTGCATGGAAGTTGCATTTGTCCACTAATCTGTCTGCATTATTTTAGAGGATCTGTAAATATCCATTGCTTTATATGTTACCAGATACCTTTCCTTGCCAAACAACTTTCTCTGAACAAATTAATTGTGTACATATGCTTTTATAAACATCAAAGCTAAATAATATCAGTATAATATTTCTGAGGCCATGAGCGGAGATATTTGATAACTTTGGCAATAACAAATGCTGATATATGTTATTCCCAAAGCCAGCTTTTAATCATCACTTTAATCATCACTGCTCACATCCTTGGCTGATTATCACAACAAAAAATAATGTTAAAGAGTGAAATCACATCATCAGAACAAAAGAACCTTCCATGTTAATATCATGGAAAAATCAATTGTATGCTTTTCTTCATCCTCCCATAAGTAAGTACCAAACTGAATCATTAAAATTATGTCCTGGACAGACATCAGGGGCTGCTTTATATTGGGTCAAAAAACAATTCTATCTAACCCAGGACCAGGGGCTGCAGCATTTTAATAACCTATAGTATGTTTTCAATGACAAAGGGCTACAGGGACATAGAATTGATGTGAAGATGTCATCAGAAGGGAAAGACCAATATTTTTGACCTTTCTCTCCACAACTGGATGGTTTTTTATTTTTTTAAAAATAACATACTTTTTATTTTCTAAAAAAAGAAATACATATACCAGCCTGCAACCCATCAAAAAGGGCTGTTGTTTGGTAGCTTATCATTGAACTTTAGCAATGAAATCAGAGTTCAAAGGTTGCAAAAAAGCATTCTGGTGGAGCAGCATATGCCTCATTCTGATTTAGTACAATGCTGTTTATACTTAATGATTGCCAACAACTCTCCAGCAGAACCTTTTCCAGTCCTGTTTAGAAATGCTAACTTGAAATTTTCTGAGTGCAAAGCAATGGTGGGATTCAGCCAGTTCGCACCACTTCAGCAGAACCGGTAGCTAATTTTTTGTTGCCCAGGCCCAGAATGGACTTCCGGAAGCAGCATCCACACAGAGAACCAGTTATTCACATATCCCACCACTGGTGCAAAGTAGATACTCTGTTACTGTGCCAAAGTCCTTCCCCCAGAAGTTATGGGAATCTGCATAACGAGAAGAGTTTCTGTAAGTGACAAATCACTAAAAAAGTTCTATGATGCATCTTCTGAGGTCACAACCAGTGCAACTGCCAGAAGAACTGAGTCAAAGCCATGCCCCTTGAGATCATTACAGCAACAGGCCAAGGCTTTTTCCCCCCCCACCTTCACCTTTCTAGAACCTCCACTGAGGATTTCCAATGCTGTGCTTTCAGCCTGCAGTCCTCCAGGGTCCTTGTCAGCTCTTCACATTCCTGCTTCTGTTCCTGCAGCTGTTGATCAGCTGCCTTCATTTCCTGCTGGCAGTCCACAAGCTGCTTCTTGACAGATCCCAGGATATCTCTGCAGGATTCCAATTGCACAAGCAATTCCTGTTCATAGAGATCAAACAGGAAGTTCCACATCAAATGCCACAAAACATACACAAGGGGAGAGAAAACCTCCCTATATTAAACAGATAAACCAAGTGCTCCAATCAATATCTTTGTATGGGGTACTTTTAGAGCAGGCCTGTTATTTAATTTGATTTTAGAACATAAACTTGTGTATATTTATCGTGGTTTTTATTATCGCCTGTTCACCGCCCTGAGTCCCGTAAGGGAGATAGGGCGGTATATAAATTCAATAAATAATAATAATAATAATCTTCATCCATCCTAATCAGCCAAACCTCTACAATGGATCTTGGTTTTTCTAAAAGAAACCTTGAAATTTATGCCTCAAAATCAGTCTCTGGGCCTTTCTGATACCTTCTGTCACTGACAAATGTGCTCAATAGTAATGGTTGTTGAAGGAGTTATAGCAGCTATTTCTTTGCCATGTAAATAGAGGGATGGGAATAGTTTTTAACCCTCTTTCTTTCTTTAGCATAAATTGTAAGGTACAGGAGTAAAAACAAGAACTTTACTTCCATTGGTGAAATCTAGACTTTGGATATACACTTCCTCTCTTGGGGAAGTGCATTCCACTGCATTCCACTGAAACCTAGCGAAGCAAGTGGGTGAGAATACATATTAATAAAGAGATGACACGTTTTATAAATTAGCAGTTATCTAGAATGGAATGGATAATTTTTTAGGAACTCATAATTTCAAAGGGGGGGGCTGAGGATGGGACAATGATAGAAAATGGGCTGGGATCTTCCAGCTTGTTTATACTTTGTGTATGTTCCCTCCCACAAATTATGGAAAACTATGTTTCTGACTTTTGGTAGTGAGATTGTTGAAGTCTAGCTCCATAGTCAAAAGTGGCTGTGCAGACTTCCCCCTCCCAAAAGTAGTTGGTTGGTTGGTAGAGCTGAATGCTGCCTTGTTGGAGGTCATAGGTTGTGTTTCCTGATCTATAGCTTTCTCCCAGATATACAGAGCAATGAAAAGAAGCAGATACTATTCAAGTAGCTTTCAATATACATGAAACTTATAAGGCAACAAAATGGATGAGTGAGAGGTTTTCCAGAGTGTCTTTGTGAATGGGAGTTGGGAATAACTCTAAGGAAGGAAAATTGAGAGTTTGTAAAAATGCCAAGGTAATTTATTATTCACAAATTTCCTTTCCCATCTAGTTGCTGATGGGTTCAATATGTAGCTTTATCCTTTGGGGTTTTCTTTTTATTAATGTTTACCACAAATCTCTTAGGTAGGCTCCATTATGCTTAGAGCAATACCCAAGCTAAATCACCCAGAAACTATATAGCCAAAATCTGAATTATGATCTTCCAAATCTTAAACTACCACACTAACTTCTATACCACAATGGAAACTGTCTGAAATGGACATGACAGTTCAAACAGAAAGGGAGAGGCTTTGGATGTAATTAAGTTTAAATGTAGGAAACTTCCTATGCATGGGAAGTGGAAACAGAATTCACAGAGAGATGGTAAAGATTGCTGAATATTTCCTCTATCCCTAAGATATTCTGCCTATCCCATTTGGGCTTCTTTTCAGTTTCACCTGCATAGAAGAAGAGCAGCTGGGGAGAACAGCTGTAAGTGCAGAAAGAGTTCAGCACTGCTCTCTGGTCACTGTTTTACTACCTGAAATTATCTCCTGCAGCTGTTTACTACAGTCCACTATAGTTATACAGTGGAAGATATAAATCTACAGCTGTAGATCTAGTATATCTTTCCAGCATTCACAAAATCCACCTGGGATGGCCAGCATTCATGCGTGGCTAGCAATAGCCACTAAAATGTTAACATTAATTGAAGTACAAGCATCATGCTCCTTACTTCATGGGCAGAAAATAAGCCTATCCAACGCAAAATATATTAAAATATAGAACATTGCACATTAATGGGATATTTCTAATATCTGTTTAACTTATAACTAAGCTAGGGCAAAGCAACTCTCCCTTCCACCTCTACCCCAATTCCCTAAACAAAATAGGAAAGAACAGTGCCAACTTTTTTGTTGTGAGGATCTGTGTGGTACTTAGACATCATTCAGTATGTTTTGTTTTTAATTTTGCAATAAAAAGATAAGTTTATGCACTAAGTGATAATGCTTGATTCCAAAGGATATCTAAGCTTTATCCATAAAGGGTCAGCCACATGACTATGTATAACAAAACAATCACTTAGAATGGCGGCCTAGGTGCTGTTATAGGAAAAAAGAAGAAATATGAACCACAGAATTACAAACATCTTCACTTAAACTTTTGTTACAACTTCCAGATATCACCTCCAACTTCTCAATTTTTTATAAAAACAAAACTAAATCCTAAGACAAATATTTTAGCCCAGATCTAAAATACTGTAGATCAAAGTATATTGGAATTAATAAGTGTTTCTGAATTCCCCAAGTGAAAGTCTTTCAACTCCAGTGAACTTTCATCTTTCTCTATATCAAGCACTGAAGATTGATTGCAAATTGTCTTAACTGCCTTTGCAGCCAAATATTACAAAGAACTGCATTTCAAAGTTGGGGAAAACCACAACTAACCCATTCTCCATAAAACTCACAACTCCTCAATAAACATATTTAATATTATTTGAAATGTATATGAATTATTATTAAACTTGATCATATCTGATCCTACAACCCGATATCCCTATAACTGATCCTATAACCCGATATCCCTATAACTCAGAGGAAACAAGAGCTGGATTGTCTACTTCTCTTATCTGGAATAACGCTGCCACAGAGATCAGATGGGCCCCACTTTCCTTGGCTTTTTGAAATGAATAAAAACTTGACTTTGTGAACATTTGAGAATTCATATGGAGGAGGAATGTTGGTTACTGGATTATGGGTTATTTCTCAGTGCCTGAGGTAATTGATTATATTGTACTATTTTGTTAAAATTATGTTTCAATTTTATTATTGCATTTAGGTATGTTGGTTGCTCAGACCTGGATAACATGCAAGTAGATGAAAGCTGGATAAATAAAATAAAAGCACTAGTATATCCAACCTGCTCATGCTTTTGTGAATTTTGGATAAGGGCTTGCACTGCTTGTATTGATGCATTCTGGCAGGATGGAGAATGTATCCGGGACTGAGTTGTCCATTGGTGCTGAGGTGAGCCAAAGCCCAGGGGATAAGTGTGCCATACAGTATTTTCTTCTGGTACAGCTTTGGCATTATCTTTGGAGATAAGTCCTATGTTCTTTGATTCAGCAAGAGCCAACTAAAAGGAAAGTAGAGAAGAAATAAATCCTAATCAAGTGAATATTATTGAATAGATTCTGGTGCATGAGTGCTGTCTAGAATGTCAGAGTTGGATTCCAGTATCTCTTAAGTTAAATTCATATGGCATTGTGAAGTACAACAAACATATTTAAAAGGCAGGTCCTAATTTATAATTTTATTTAACAAGCAGAAATAAGGGTAGCACATCTTAGGTAACAGTGTATTGGGATGACAATTCCATTACTTCTCCTGTATTTTTGAACTGTTGTTCTCTATGGTATAGCTTTATACAGTTGCAGTAATATTATAACATATAGTACAAAACATTCCCATGAAGCTATATTAGGGTAGTTGGCTATTGGTTTTCAAATATTTGCCTCCTGACTGACACTTACTCAACATGTTGGCATCTCAGATCAGTACTTCAGAGCCCCCTGCTTTGCATTCAACAGGACAGATGTTTAGCTAATTTAGCTCAGCCCTAGAGTATTTTATTATAGCTAGCAAAGGACTATTGCTCAAGTGGGGAGACCCATCTGCAAATAAAAAGCAATGTGGATTTGGGTCTGCTCACAGATATTTAGTAGCGTATGTTTCAAGGGAGTCCTCTAAAGGAAGAAGTAGCCTCTGTTCATTCAGTATTAACTTGTATGAGACAAGGGACATATGTGGCCTGTGCAATCTGAGGTCATGGAAATTTGGGATTTAAAAATACTATTGCTACTAAAAGTACATACGTGTCTACTTGATATCAAATGGGAATTTAACCATCATTTCCTTAAGCTTGTTTAAAGACAAGCAAATAACACTCACACACCCTATATAGTGGTGAAAAAAAAAAGATGGGTCTCTTTCTTACAAGTTAAGGGGAACAGTTTTAGATATACAGTAGGACTTTCCTTATATGAAAAGAAATGTTCAGGTAGAAAGTTCACATCTATCTTTTTTTTCTCATAAAAAAATAATTGTTGTCGATTCTGTTGGTTCAAGACTTAGGAACCAGAAAGTAAGCTTGTGCCAAAAAAAACCAGATGGCTTTTAGGAACCAGCCCAAATAACTCAATTCTATTACACAAGGGCACAATCTGTGAAAATGTTATACCAGCAGAATACTATATTCTTTCATAGCTTCTATTCCTTTCAGTGAGGCCTGTGCTACAGAATTTTCTAATAAATGGTATCTTATTTATATTTCTCTACTATAAAATATGTACCATGCATCAAAGTAAATGGTAGACCTTGTTTACCTACAAAGTACATTATGTTTTAATATTTCACATACCTTTGTGATGCTTTTTAAAGTATATTGCAAAGATTCAGTTTCCTCTTTCAGATCCTTCACTTCTTCTAGATCTCCAATTTTACTGGCTTCCTAGAGTTCAAAGACAAGCAGTTGCTCAGAAATGGACATGGGGAAAGAACAGAGAAACATGAGACAGCAAATCAATCTAGTATTGTAGATCAACATGATTATTATGCCCTTTTTGAGAATGCTTATAGTGGTAAACAACTGGGGTTTTGTTTAACAGAATGACAGAAAGTAGGGTCGAAGGGGGGTTTGTACCAATTTCTGAATGTCCATTTTTAAGGCCGAGATTGTCTTGTCTTTCTTTGTGTTCTGTTCCTTAAATTTATCACCTAAAGTGGTCAATTCAGTAATCCTGTAAGAAAAGAAACCAGACAAAGATGATGTATTAGTCAGGAGGATTAATCAGTAACTCATAAAGGATATATTATTTATATCTTTGAAATCATTATAAAGAAACAACAGTTCCAATTCACACATCATCTTAAAAAGGCTGGAGAAAAGAGCTGGAAGTGATTAGATCACAATATGCTTTGTAGTCCAAGACCCCAGAATGATAAGAAAAAAGCAAATCCAGCAAGAAACGTTGTGTTGTTGACATGAATACTCAAGGGGATGTAGAGCATGTGTATATAGTGCAAGGTCTGGAACCTCTTTCTTAAGGAGTGCAAACGTAAAAAGTCAGTCCTTCAACCAGCATTCCAACATTTACTTTTTACTTTCTGCCTGATATATTGCCTGTATTAACAAGGAGCATAGGAGATTGCAAGGCTCTTGTTGATAATGCTGTTCCCTGCGGACAATCCATCTTTTAGTGTGCATGTCTGCATGTGTTTGGTTTTCTGAGTCCCCAAGCTCAGGGTACATAAGTATGCTCAGTTTTAGCACTGGCTCTCCTGACCTCATTGGGCTTTCTGTCTCAACTAGATGCCTAAAGATAGATACATTTATTATCATATAAACTTTCATACACCTAACTGTACTAAATCAGATGTATGTAATATAGGTAATCCTGAAAAAGGAGTTTTGCAGACATACACAGCTGTACTTTGATGTAGAAGTAAGATACATATGATGGTTACAATAAAAAAAATGTATTCAATAATATGTCTGTTATTCTTTAAGATGTCATTATGGTCTTTGTTGTTTTTGTTAACAAGGTCAAGAAATCAGGATGTGACTTTTAAAGTGCCATTCTCTAATATATTTATTTGCAGTTGCCTTGAGTCCCGTAAAAATTCAACAGGGATAAGAAAGGGAATCCTGGAGGGCTAATTTATTATCTGGGAAGTAGATGTTTTATGACTAACCATACTCACTAAGACAGTCATTTTATAGGATAATGTGTTCTCAAATTTCCAACTGCATCCCTAGACCCAAAAGGTTACCTATCCCAGACAGGCCTTTTAAATCTTCTTGTCCTTTAATAATCTGTGTTCTAGAAATCAAAGACACGGAAGTCTTCCTCTTACTTGGAGTTTAGAATGGCCTTTTCTCCATCCCAAGAACTCTGTAGCTGAATCATCTCTCGGACTTTCTCTCGAAGCTGCTTCTCTAGCAAACAGGTAGAGCTATTCTCAGAAAGGCGCAAATTGGAATCCAAATTGAGACAAGCAGTTTGGAGGCGACGGGAAGCTCTTGCCATGTCAGTTCCTGCTTCAGCAAGTCCTCTGGGAATGAGAGAATAATATCTTTGTTCATTCAGAATTCTACATACACCATTACAATACCTAACATTCCAGGTGGTATAGAAATGACATTATTGGTAATTGCCAATAATTCGAATTCAGAAAAACCTTCTCTATTTAAATTAGAAATATATATTATACTCACATTTTCCAGATATATCAACTATGTTAGCCATATGAGGGATGCTGAAGCATTCAGAGCTATGTGGTGTCAACTTTCCTGACTTGAACATAACTATTATTAAGGATAACCTGAGTTAAGGATAACCATCTCCTAATTTAAGGACAACTATCAGGTCACAAAGTATTATTTCAAGATCGGAAAGGTTTGCATACTCCTTTTACACATGCACGTGCACATGTGCACACACACACACATATATATATTTTTTTAAAAAAAATAGGGCTCCGACACAAGGGCATAAATACTGTGATATCTGATGTTTCAGAACATTCCTCTGTCTGGTAATTTTTCATAGAACAATGAGAAACATTCTTATAGCAATGGTAAATTTAGGTAACACTCACTTCTCCACTGTTGTGCGAAGCTCTGCGAAGTTACCACGAAGTGTGGCTGCTTGACGCCATAGCAGGAGAATCCCACTGTGTTCATTGCTGAGATAGGAATCATAGCTCTGGAAAGAATAATGGAAAAAAACATGAGTGGCACAAAGTAGATTCCATCACTTTTAATGTTTTATTGATGGAGAATAGCAAAAGGGGTCACCCATGCTACTAATAATTACTGTTTTAAATCAATGTCCTACAATACTACAGAATTCTGTACAAGACTTATGAACTAGAGGAAATGTAGAACAGCCAAATAGTAGGATTACTGAAGGCATTATTTACCTACATTTTACTGAAATTCCTGGAAAGGGGAACATGGCAAAGTACAGGGGATCCTTGACTTACGACTGCAATTGAGCCCAACATTTGCTAAGTGAGAAATTTGTTAAGTGAGTTTTGCCCCATTTTACATCTTTTCTTGTCACATTTGTTAAGTGAACTGCTGCAGTTGTTACGTTAGTAAAACAATTGTTAAATGAACTTGGCTTCCCAGTGATTTTGCTTGTCAGAAGATTGCAAAATGTGATCACATGACCTCGGGACACTGCAACTGTCATACATATGAACCAGATATCAAGTAAATCATGTGACCATGGGGATGCTGCAACTGTCATAGGTATGAAAAACAGTCATGTCACTTTTTTCAGTGGCCTTGTAAATTTGAATGGTCACTAAATGAACAGTTGTAAGTCGTGGACTACCTATATTATGAACTTTGGAAAAAGCAGGATCAAAAATGCATTACTTGGTTTCTTGCCATTAATTATATTTAATATCTTGAAAGTCTAAGTGAAAAAGATATAAGTAATGAAGAAAAATATAAGAAAAAATACATTACTTATAAGTAAAAAGTAACATTCTGTTTCTAATAAACTACAGATATTCTTCGACTTACAACCTCAATTAAGCCCCAAATTTCTGTTGTTAAGCGAGTCATTTTTTTAAGTGAGCTTTGCCCCATTTTACGACTTTTCTTGTCACTGTTGTTAAGTGAATCACCACAGTTGTTAAATTAATAACAAAGTTGTTAAGTGAATCTGGCTTCCCCATTGAATTTGCTTGTCAGAAGGTCACAAAACGTGATCCCATGACCCCAGGACACTGAGACTGTCATAAGTATGAACCAGTTGCCAAGCGCCTGAATTTTGATCATGTGACCATGGGGATGCTGCAACTGTTGTGTGAAAAACAGTCATAAGTCATATTTTTCATTGCCCTTGTAACTTTGAACGGTCACTAAATGAGTTGTTGTAAGTATACTACTTGTATACTTTGAAATGAAGAGAGAAACTGCTATATCATCTTGCAAATACAACAAAACTCTAATATTCTCCAGTCTGTGTGGTAAGGTTAGCATCTTCTCTGGCTGAACAAAGAAGAATCTGAACTCAGAATCTGGCTAATATTAATTTGAGCTAATATTATGTTATATAAATCAACATATCTGAATTTTATATGAGGCTCATTCTTTTGAAGATAATAATACTAGTTAACAAACTTTACTGCTTAGCTTTTGAAAAGTTTTCTATTATTGGATTTAGGTTTTATCTTTTAGAAGGGATTTTAAGAACACTGAAATAGTTGTACTACTTCCTCAGTGGATGCAGTTCCCCAAAACAGTTAAGAAATAGCAGTCTTTAAATGAAAGTCTACTATAATTACTTAGGAAGCCGAGATTAAATGAATATATTTGCATAATATAGTTATATTAAGCAATATACCTAGCTTAAATTATTTCAAATAATGTCAGAAATGAACATGGAATAAAAATGACCAAGATTATTGTCCACAAAGTAGAACTCAGATTTGGGTAGACTATAGTAAAAAACTCAAATCTTATCAATCAGTTAGTGCCGGAAAAAGAAGGAGGAATCTTATCCTCCAAAAACGAACACATAGAAAAAATCAGGTTGTGATCCGATACGTCTAAGATTTATGAACCAATGCCAAATAATCAGAGATCCAAGAAATATAATTCTAATAATATAACTCAGATGTAAACGATAATAGACATGTTGTTCCAACAAAAAAGTGGTAATAAAGGCTAAGTATTTTACTACAGAGTTTCTTTATAGTAGATAAAATACTTATAGGCAACATACTGCAAAAAGTAGGAAAGTATCTTTCACTGAGATAACAATTGTCCACATCTTTTCTCTGCCTTTTGTCTAATTTGGTAAACATAAATAATAGTTTATTTTAAATCAAAGGAACTAGTCATCTTCTCCCTTTACATGCATTCTTCTTCTTTACCTTGTTTTCCCCCCAGAAATATATGCTTTTGTTGCATAACTCTGTAAAAACTATGGGTGGAACATTGCACTAAACTAAACAGTTGAACAAAATTGCATACATATAAAAACAAATCCATAGTATAATTACTGATTTGGAATAACATATTGAAATTCATGAACTTGTTAAATTCACCAAATTCATATATATTACAATATCTCCAATAAATTTGTGAGTTCATTTGACCATTCTGAGAGATGAGTCAGTTATCTGTTGGACTAAAGCCTATTCTTCATTTTTCTAAGCAACAGTTCTATATTCATTGAGCGGAACTAAACATAAAATGTATCTGCATTATGTGCTAAATTGAAACTCTAACCTTTCCAAAATTTCACTGAAAAAAGAGAGAAACACATGAAAAGGAAAAGTCAATCCTTCAAACAAAATAATAGTGAGGACAAAATCAGGTATGATTATAATCATGCAATTAATAATCATGCAATTATTGTTAAAGCTGAAACAAAGTGGATGAGGAACTCTTAATCCAGACTGGAATTAGATTGGGAAGAAACATGCTTGTAATCCTCTGGTTTAAGTCCTTCCAAATCACTCCCACCACCAAAGCTTACTTAGCACGTAGTGCAGAAGGCTTCAATTAGCATTGTGAGATTACTAGAGAAGAGAGTATACAGGCTGCAGCATTTCCCAAAGCAACGGAACTGGATACATATAATAGTTAATACTATATTCTTCTATAATTGGGTGTAGTGATATCAGAAAGGCTGAGTTTAATTAACTCCATATGCCTCTTGCCTTTTTTTTTTCAACAGCAACAATAAGATAAGAAAAGTGGAGGGTGAATCTTGGGACTGAATGAACTTATAAACCATTGACCCAACTTGAATACTAAATTGATTAAAATCACCAAATAAATAAATAAATGCACAAACAAGAATATAAAAAAAAATACCTTGGTGCATTATAATAATGTAACATGGAACTAATAGATCTTTAATCATAGTGTAGTAAGCCTTTCAAAAAAAAAAGTCAAGCAATATTTCCTGCCTTTGTACCAAAGAGATACCTTCTGTTCTAGTTCACTTCTCAGTCTGTGCATATCAGTAGTATTCCTCTCTAGCTCCCCAGCTAGTCTCTGTTTTGAGCATTTCACCTCTTCCAGCTGTTCCTGAAGTAGACTGTTCATCTGGGAAAGGGTAGCACTCCTACAGGAAAACGAAACAAAGGGCACAAGAGTACTATAGGAAATTCTTGACTTATGACCACAGTTGACCTCAACATTTATGTTGCTAAGTGAGGCATTTGTTAAGTGAATTTTGTCTCATTTTACAACCTTTCTTGTCACAGTTGTCAAGTGAATCACTGTGGTTGTTAAGTTAGTAACACGATTGTTAAGTTAGTAACACGATTGTTAAGTGAATCTGGCTTCCCCATTGACTTTGCTTATCAGAAGGTCACAAAAGATGCACATATGACCCCAGGACATTGCAATTGTCATAAACATGAGCTAGTTGCCAAGTGGCCGAACATTGATCACATGACCATGGGGATGCTGCAATGCTTTAAGTGTGAAAAATGGTCATAAATAACTTTTTTTCAGTGCTGTTGTACTGTTGCAAGTTGAGGACTAGTTGTATTATATTTAAAATTTCCTCAAGCTCTTAATCCCCATCTTTTCCTAGAAACATTTGAAAAGAAAACAATCTGTTAGGCTTTTTCCATATCTTCCAGCACTTAAACCTGCCAAAGGACTATATGCCTCTTTAGCAAAACTATGTAATAAAGAATACTCAAGGCTCTGAAATCATTCTCACTATGGGCACTTCACCTGTTGGACCAGTACTGCTGACAGATTTTAGATGGGGAGGGGGTGAGATTTGCCTGAATTAATTGTGGCTTAGTCTAAATCCCAAGAACTCACCCCATCAAGACTACAGGAGCAACAGTCTTAAGCAGTTATTAAGAGTTACTGCTGTAGATCTGACTCTTATCTTTTTATAATATTTCAACCCCAGATGGCTTTACTTATCCCATGGAGCAGTCTTCTCTGAGAACATCTAAAGCCTGCTTTTTCCTTTTTTTTCTATTAACCTTAAAGTGACAAGCTTCTGCTCTTCGATTTCCAAGCAAATGTGAATATTTATAAATAATTACAGAGCAACTCTTCACTTTTTTTCTATTGCTTCTGTTTGTTTTGAACAAACTACACCTTTCAGTTCCAATACAGGAAACTTTGACTTAAAACCATTCTTTAGTGACCAATTTGAAATGACAAGGACACTGAAAAAAGTGATTTATGACCATTTTTCACACTTAAGACGATTGCAACATCCCCATGGTCACATGATCAAAATTTGGGCACTTGGCAACTAGCATGAATTTATGATGCCCCAAAGTCCTATGATCACCATTGGTAACCTTCCCAGCTCACTTCCAACAAGCAAAGTCAATACGGGAAGCCAGATTTGCTTAGCAACCAAACGATTCACTTAACAACTGTGCCAAAAAAGGTCATAAAATGGTCAAGACTAATTTAACAACTGTCTTAGCAACAGAAATTTTGGGCTTAATTGTGATTGTAAGTTGAAAACTACCTATATTTCAATCATGAATATATTACCAAGTTGCCATTATGATTATTATATATTTTTGTATCCCTAGTCTATGTTCATGCCATGAGTATAATAAACAGCAAACAGTTCAATAGGTCCTATTTATAACAACACTCTCATTCCCTTCTTCAGTGAACGAATCTGAATATGAAGTCCTTTATTGCTGTGCTTTCTTCTTCTTCATCTCCTGCAAGCTTCAATTTAAAATCTCTCGATCAGCCTTGCCATACTTCGATCAAACTCATTTTTGCCAGTCCTTATGAAAAGCAACTCAGCTACATCTTCTAAATCCTCTCTGCTTTCAGGGACCTCCTTCCTGTCACCTGTTCTTCAGTGCCTCTGTTTCTTCTGCAGGGCTGTAGATTTTTCTGTTCCAAATGTTTCGTAGCAGTTGCTGAATTCCAGCAGTATAACATGTATGTCTCTTGCTTCTGACTGAAACCCTGAACTTGCTTCTTTGCTAGACTGCCTTCCATGAAGAAAATTGTTTCCTTTTTCAGGCCTTCTGTAGATCCTTATTTGTGCTGATAAATGTTTACTTCTCTCAAGAGAAATAAAATTGAATTCTTAAAGCAGGATATTATGCAATTTTCCCTGACTCATTTCTAGGCACCATCTTTCATGTTGTACATAATAATATTCACTAATACATGTGATGACCTCCACTAAGTTAAATGTAGTGTGGCCATTTGCTGCTCTAATCTTTTGACTATTTCTTCAGACCCACTAAAAGCTTGCACACATTGCAAGTAGGAATACAAACATCCCAGAACTGCTGTGAGTCATGAACAGTTTTTCAGCTGCTTATGCAAGAACAGCTCATGGGGCACCATCCTTGCAACCAGCAACAATTCAGATGTTGACATGTTCATCTTTCACAGCTGATCACACAATCCCTCACAATTACTGTAGACTTATAAACATTGGAGATATATACATATCATAAATAAATAAATATTGAAAATGCATAAATAATTACACACAATACTCTTCTGGTCATTACTTTTGCTTTGAAGATGGCAAATAAATGAAATAAATAAATAGATTTCTTTGTCCTCTCCTCCTGTTCAGCTCCCTTGGTAACTTTTTCCTGTAGACTTTTCCTATTTGTTTACACAATAATTTTGTGTTTAAGGCTAATTGAGGCAATCCTATATTAGCTTCAGTACTTTTTTTCATTCCTACCTAGAAGACCTGTCTGCGTGCATAGTTACCTCTACACCAATGCTTTATATTTAGTAAGTATTACCAGATGATCACTGTATTATTTGTATTTTAACAATTCTATCTGTCTTCCATTATTGAAATAACTTCTGAACTTCATGAAAATCTTTTTTTAATTCCTGGATACTTAACAATTCAATTATATAGCAGATAGCAAGATTCTCACTCTGGGGTAATTTTAGTTTCTCTAGTGGGTTCTTCTAAGACAGACAAATCCCTCTATCATGTTCATATAATTCCATTTTATTCTCATTAGTTGCCTAGATTGACATTAGTGACAATCACTTCATTTATTTTACATGAGCTTCTGTTAATTCTTCTTTCCCTTTTGCAGTAATATCAATGCTCTCTGGGTCTCATTCCTGCTTATATATTGTTCTGTGTATTCTTCCATATTGTATTTGATAACTCCTTAGAGTGGAAGTCTATGTTTGATTTCCCAGGTTAGTATTTGATTTAAAAATATGAAAGGGAGTATTCTAAGGCCAAATGGGATCTCAATTTTAGAAGCTGCTTTTTTCCTCTTCAGGCATTAAAGTCTATGAACCATAAGCCATTATTCTAAGCATGGTATTCTGCTGCTAGTAGGAAATTGCTCTCACTTTTTGGATTGATCATTACCAGGATTCCTCCAAATGTTTCTGAACCTGCATTTCCCCCCTTTTTTTCATAGCCCCAGCTAGCTTTTTCCAAAAGTCAGTTAATGGGCATGTTTTTTGTACAACTGATTCTGTTGCTGGTGGTAGAAAATCCACAGAAAATCAGCATAATATCTTGGATCCTAAAATTCCTGGAATGGAATTTCTCATTATGGTTGACCTGGATCGTTTTGAAGAGGAACGGGTAAAGTTGTTAACTGAGAAAGAAACTTCCTAATTATGATGTGTAGTTCCTTTCAGGAGAGCTATAGAAAGCTAAGGATTACATGTTATCAGTAGATCTTAGTAAGAAAGCTTAAAGTACAAAAAATGGAACCTGGGTCTCTCAAATCTAGAACAATTAACCAGTGGAACTAGAACAATTAACCAGTGGAACTAGAACAATTAACCAGTGGAACAACCTGCCTCCAGAAGCAGTGAATGCTCCAACACTGGAAGTTTTTAAGAAGAGACTGGACAGCCATTTGTCTGAAATGGTATAGGGTTTCCTGCCTGAGCAGGGGGTTGGACTAGATGACCTCCAAGGTCCCTTCCAACTACTACTACTACTACTACTACTACTACTACTACTACTACTACTACTACTACTACTACTACTTATTATTATTATTATTATTATTATTATTATTATTATTATTATTATTATTATTATTATTATTATTATTATTATTTCTAAATCAGAGGTTAATATGTCACAGAAAGCATATTGCTAACATCACATAAATTTCAGTGGCCTACAATTGTACATTTCAGTTTAAAGCAACTAATTAGCCTTCCCTGACCTGGGATCTTCCAAATAAAATAAACAATTCATCCCAGAAAAACACCAATATTACCTCTGCTGCTCTTTTTCTAAGTGGATGAGAGTGTTCTCCAACTCTGTATTATGGTCATGTTCAATGCGTCGTAAACGTAAGTCTGTTGAGTCTAATCTTGTCTGCAGCTAGGAAGAAGAAAAGATCACAGACTGAACTATAATAGTAATTAAAGTACAGAAAGATTTATTAGCAGATTTAGGATATGCATGCAATTGCATGTGTCATACACCATCTATTTGCTTACTTAAAACCCTGAAACTTTTCTTTAACGATTTGAGCTTCATGATTTGAGAGAAAAGATATGTTACTGTATAAAATGCCATCACCTAGCAATCTCTAGAAATGAAATGTGTTCTGAGTTGAATTTTCAGCAGTCAAGGAAAAGCCTTCAGTTTGCAGAAGTCTGTGTTTCACCTCACGATTTTCCTATGGCTATCAACACATTAATAGTAATAATAATAATAATAATAATAATAATAATAATAATAATAGTAGTAGTAGTAGTAGTAGTAGTAGTAGTAGTAGTAGTAGTAGTAGTAGTAGTAGTAATACCAAGGCAAATAGGTGGGCGTGGAATGCTGCAAGTACATCAGATGGTTGAAGAAGAAAAAATATCTTTGGAAAAATATCTGAAGGACAGTGATGAAGATGCACTAAAATTAGTATATCAGGAAGGCTTACTGACTACTGGAGAGACCAAACTGGCCTACAAGAAAGACCAAATGAAGAACAGAATAGAGGCATGGGAAGACAAAGCACTGCATGGCCAGTACATTAAAAAAATAGCTGGGAAAGCAGATAATAACAAGACCTGGCAATGGCTAAGAGCAGGAAAATTGAAGAAAGAGACCGAGGGACTAATTCTGGCTGCACAAGACCAAGCCTTAAGGACAAATGCATACAAAGTCAAAATTGAGAAGACAGCAACAGGCAGTAAGTGCCGCCTGTGCAAAGAAGCTGAAAAAACAGTGGACCACCTGGTAAGCTGCTGCAAGAAGATCGCACAGACTGACTACAAGCAGTGGCATGACAAAGTAGCAACAATGGTGCATTGGAAGATCTGCAAGAAATATCATTTGCCTATAAGCAAGAACTGGTGGGATCATAAAATAGAGAAAGTCATAGAAAATGATAAAGTTAAACTGCTCTGGGACTTCAGAATTCAAACAGACAAGCACCTGCAACATAACACCCCAGACAATTGTCGATAAGAAAGACAAAAAAGTCTGGGTAGTGGACGTGGCAGTGCCTGGAGACAGCAGAATAGATGAGAAAGAACTGGAGAAGATAACAAAATACAAAGACCTACAAATAGAACTAGAAAGACTGTGGCAAAAGCAAGCATGGGTAGTACCAATAGTAATAGGCGCCTTGGGTGCAATCCCAAAACAACTTGAGCACCACTTGAACACCATTGGCATTGACAAATTCGCTATTAGTCAATTGCAAAAGGCAGCCTTACTAGGAACTGCTTCCATCCTGCAACGATATCTGTAATACTATCAAACATCCACATCTGCCTATCCCAGGTCCTTGGTAAGGACTCGATAGGTAGACAAAATGCCAAATCCAGTCTGAACATCTGGTTGACTGTGCGATGATCCATAATAACAACAACAACAACAACAATAATAATAATAATAATAAAGTTGGAAGGGACCTTGGAGGTCATCAAGTCCAACTCCCTGCTCAGGCAGGTAACCCTATACCATTTCGGACAAATGGCTGTCCAGTTTCTTCTTAAAAACTTCCAGTGTTGGAGCATTCACCGCTTCTGGAGGCAGGTTGTTCCACTGATTAATTGTTCTGTCAGGAAGTTTCTCCTTAGTTCTAGGTTGCTTCTCTCCTTGATTAGTTTCCATCTGTTGCTTCTTGTCCTGCCCTCAGGCGCTTTGGAAAATAGCTTGACTCCCTCTTCTTTGTGGCAGCCCCTGAGATATTGGAACATTGCTATCATGTCCTTCTCTTCATTAAACTAGACATACCCAATTCCAGCAACCGTTCCTTATATGTTTTAGCCTCCAGTCCCCTAATCATCTTTGTTGCTCTTCTCTGTACTCTTTCTAGAGTCTCAACATCTTTTTTACACCGTGGTGACCAAAACTGGATGCAGTATTCCAAGTGTGGCCTTACCAAGGCATTGTAAAGTGGTATTAATACTTCACGTGATCTTGATTCTATCCCTCTGTTAATGCAGCCTAGCACTGTGTTGGCTTTTTTGGCAGCTGCAGCACACTGCTGGCTCATATTTAAATGATTGTCNCCTCTCACAGTTACTACTATTGAGCAAGGTATCCCCTATACTATACCTGTACATTTGGTTTTTCTTGCCTAAATGTAGAACCTTACTTTTTTCACCATTGAATTTCATTTTGTTAGATAGCGCCCAGTGTTCAAGTCTGTCCAGATCCTCCTGTATCCTAAGCCTGTCTTCTGGAGTGTTGGCTATTCCTGCCAGCTTGATGTCGTCTGCAAATTTGATGAGTTCCCTATCTATCCCCTCGTCCAAATCGTTGATGAAGATGTTGAAGAGCCCTGGGCCCAGAACAGAGCCCTGGGATACCCCACTGCACACTTCCCTCCATGTAGATGTGGTTCTATTGAGGACCACACGCTGAGTACGGCCGGTCAGCCAGCCACGGATCCATCTGGTGGTGATGCTGTCCAACCTGCATTTTTCTATCTTATCAAGTAGTAGGTTGTGATCTACTTTGTCAAATGCCTTACTGAAGTCCAAGTAAACTGTATCCACAGCATTCCTCTGGTCCATTTTGTCACTTGGTCAAAGAATGTAATAAGATTTGTCTGGCATGATCTGTTTTTGACAAACCCATGTTGGCTTTTAGTAATGACTTTGTTTGCCTGTAGGTGTTTGCTGATTCGTTGTTTGATTATCTTTTCCAGAATCTTCCCAGGTATTGAGGTCAGGCTGATAGGTCTGTAATTTCCTGGATTCATTTTCCCCCCTTTTTTGAACATGGGAACTACATCAGCTCTTTTCCAGTCCTCTGGTAGTTCCCCAGTGCTCCAGGATCTTTGAAAAATATAGTTCAGTGGTTCTGAGATCACATCTGCCAGTTCCTTGAGAACCTTGGTATGTAATCCATCTGGTTCTGGTGATTTGAACTCGTCTAGGCTGGACAGGTGCTCACTTATCATTTTCTTGCCTATCTTAACTTGTGTTTTTATTCTGTTTTTTATGGCACTATTTTTGATAGGTTGGTCTTGTGTAAAGACAGATGCGAAAAACGAGTTAAATAGTTCTGCTTTCTCCCTTCTAACTATCATAGTTAGAAGTCCCACGAACTATCATAGTTAGAAGTCCCACAAAGAGGCAGATTTCTGAACAAACTTTCTCACTTTCATAACACTTGCTTTTACTTCTCCTTTGTTTTCTTCTTTCAGTATGTTTTGATCTTGTTTTTGTCTTTCTTTTGGCAGTTTTAAAATTTTCCTTTAATCTGTTCAAATCCCCATTGAGGCTTTGGCAATTTTAACATCCAGATTAGACTTTTTTTTAAATTTGGTGCATTTGCTCCGAATATCAGACAATTTAGATATTTCTTTCCCTCCAATTGTATTTTTATATAAAAAATTCTATGACCATTCTAAAAGCAGGTCCTGCCAATATAATAATATATTCTGAAAAAAAGCCTCAATCAGGTATATATTTTTCCAAAACACCAAAGAAGTGTTAACAGAGGTAAAAACATCCTTGCTTATTAATTCCATATGCTTCTTTGTTCAGGTTCTGCAAAGTTTTGCAGTGTTTCAGAAACACTGTAACTTGTTTAACTGATTTTTTTAAAAACTGTCTTCAACCTGGATGACTTCCAGATACATGGACAATATATCATGGCAAATGCTAAAAATTCTAGAACTTGAAATCCAAGATAGCTAGAACACCCAGGTTGGGAAGCTGTTATACACCACCAGAGATAGCGCCTCTAGGATGAACAATATAGACTTAGAGTACTAAGATTAATTTGGCTGTTATTTTCAGGCACCTGCTATATATCATATGGGGTTGCTAGGATAACTGCCTGAAGAGAACTGCAATTACAGATTTGGACTTCACAAGGTTTTTATTTATTAATTAACTGCTGCTTTAACATCCAAGCCTATAAATGTAGAAAACTGAATACCTGGGTGTTCTGTGTAATCTCTGCTGACTGCTGACTGCTGCAATGCCTTTTTCTACAGATATTAATGTTTTTTGGCAAATGTCAGCAGCTTAGAAACTTTCATAAGTATTCTGATGACTAACAACACAGGGTCACACAGTGCAACCTTCCATATACTTTGTCTTTTGAAATAACATGATTTTAGCCTATAATTTGCGCTTAACTTTTTAAAAGTGTTAATAGTTATATACTTTGTATTGTAACTATATGAAAGCCACCCAGAGAATCTCTGTGGGGCACCACCTACCTACATAGAAAATTTATTTTTTCTTGCTTAACTGGTTTAGTCTTAAATTACCATTGATAGCTGACTGAGTAAAAGATTTGTCTCACAATAAAGAACTCAGCTGGCTGTTTATCAAAACTATAGATTACTGGAAGAAACGACTGGATATTCATGAAATGAATCCTGTGGGAATCTTTAAATGATATGAATTATACAACAAATACGTGTACCAGATATGATTTTTGTCTGGCTAGCCTAGTTTCCAAACATTCATTCCACTGAATTGAGCATGGCAGTGTAGAACAGGGTTATACACAATGTTGAGAGTCTGTGCCATATGCCAGTGGTTTCCAACCTTTCTGGCTCTGTGGAGAGGCAGCAGCGGCAACAGTGGCATGGGGGAGGGAGAAAGAGGGGATGGTTTCACCTGTACGCCTGCTGCTTGCACAAATGGAACTTTGTGCACTTGCCCGCTTGCCCATTACTTGAGCAGCCCAGTTCACAATGGGCCGCAGACTAGGGGTTGGGGACCCCTACCATATGCTTCATCATTAATGGGGGAAAACCCTCACATAAAATACAGACCATCTGTTTCTGACGCTCACACTCAGAGGTTTTCTCCAGCAACTCCTGTTCCAGTTCTCCACATCTTTTCTTATACTGCAACACCTATACCATGATGGAGAAAGGGATTTAGGTAATCAGAATATTTAAGAGGAAAAGAAAGAACAAAGAAAAGAGCAGTTCAGGGTAAATGATTTAACTAAAATAAAAGAAGCAGAAGTTTGATCCATGAGGTCAGGGTTGTGCATCTTGAGATTCCAGGTCAAGCCAGACCTCTCCAAAAATTATAATTTTAAAGCATATTATGAAGTACATAAGGAATGAAAATATTTTAATTGCAATTTCCAATTAGGTTTACATTTAAATGCAATCAAATCCAATGTATATTTTTTCATTCTGGCTCCACCATACTTGGCCAGCAGCAAGACTTGAAATCAGATCTGTTAGCCCAGCCCTAAATTCTCAGGCAGTTTAAGAGACAATATATTCATCTTTATATGAAAACTTCCCTGAATTGCTACTAAGTCATTTATTTGACATATTGTAGGTTTTTGTGGGGAGTGGCGAAGATGGGGAAGACAAATATATAAAATGTAGATTGTGCTAAGAACCAGGTCAAATTAAAAGTAAGAAGAAAAACAGAAATCTGACAAAACTATAGTGGGAGAAGACAGGGAACATACTATGGGAGGAAAGCCTTTAAAAATGTCAAAAAGAAAAAGACATTTTGGCTGTGAATCACAGATTTTAAAAAGCAAAGATTTAGGAGGGGGGAAAATCCATGAGTGTGTATATTAAGCAGAAGATGCAATAGGGAGGAACTTTCATTTTCAGCAATATGACTCTCTAAATACTAGAAACCAGTCTTTTCAAAGATCTTTTCTCACACTGTATCCTATGGGATACAGATTTTGGACAAATATTTTGTGCATATAGGAATTGATTGAACACAACTGAGGAGCATTATCTTGGGAAGGCTATTTCTTAGTTCTTCCAGAAAATTTTGCAGAGATGAAAGGAAGAATTTCATAAGATCCAAACATCTAGTCATTCCGACTGACTAAATACTCTACTAAGTCATAATGTGGGGTGGGCTTTTTTTTGGATTTCTTTTCGCATGTTGTGTGAACCCTGTACTTTCCTATGGAAACTGCTTCCAAATAAACTCCAAACTGGTCTCTTGATTTAATGGGCTGGTACTACAACTAGGCAATGCTGGTACCTTGTTTCTTCAATTCTTCTCTGAAAACTTACACAGAGCTTTTTAGATAGAATGTATGTTTTCCCCTCAATACAACAGTATAGTAGCTACTATGTATACAATAGTAGCTATTGTATACAACTTAAAAATCACCCATATGACAATTGAAAGCTACTATTCCACATCTATCTAGATTGTATGATTCATATGGCAAATTATTTATTTAAATCATCCTTTCCCAATTTGGTGTCCATAAACATATTGCATTTCAATGATCATAATTTCTGAAATAGCAAAATTCTTTTCTTTACTACAGGCCCCCTTTAAATACCTTTTGTGGCCACCGACCATGGCTATGGACCTCCAAATCTTAACTAAATATCTAAATCATAATATTTCTTCAAGTCTTTGCAGACCCTCTGTGATGACTACAGGTTGAGAACCACTGGCATAGTTTATAGGTTAAAGAGTACTTCAGATTCTGAAGAGCACCAACTGTCAGGTGCAAAGAATCAGGACAATGTATTAAGTCTCAGTTAAGCTAATTTATTGTTCATGTCTATACACTAGAATCTAGTCAACGAATGGGCAGCACTAAGTTGGTGCTAGATAAGAGTTAACAGAATTCAAGAGGGGCTAGACTTGGACTGCTTGTAGGAACTTAATGACCCCAGACTAATTCCTGTCTTGATTCTGTCCCAAGGCTCTGTCTTTCCTTCTCCTACACCAACATGAGTAATGCTGACTTAAACAGCTCATAATGAGAACTAATCTTTAACATCACAATTCTATTAAAATATTTTATTTTATTAAACAACTACAGTTTTTAATTCTATTTCACAAAGAATAGATCAATGAAAAATGTATAAATATAAAGAAACAACACAGGCAAAATAGCAAAATAAGGTTTAGCACGTAATCACACATAAATTAAGCAAACTGTGTTTAAGCACTGACTTTAAGTTTCTGAAAAGTAATAAAACAATAAATATTTAGTATTTTTTCTGTAATCAGTGAGTGGAACCTATGATAGAACAGTTCAAAACTGAAGTCTGGAAAGTATAGGAGCTCTATCAGGCATTTCCAACAAATTGGCAGGATTTTTAAAAGAATCCTCTAATTTCAGAGAAGGGACAGGTTTAAGAGACAGAACAATGCAAAACAATGAACACATTCTCCAGAAATAAATATAATAAATATAAATATAACAGGGCACATCAGCCTAACAAGTTAATTATTATTATCTATCATTCATTAATAATAATGAATACTATATTATTATTTATTATTATTATTATATTTCATGAGAAAAATATTAAGTTGTTACCACCTGTTCCTTAGATACCAAATTATAATATCTATCCCATTGCAATTCTATGGCTTCTGATCTTGTAGAAGGAAAACCTTATGTAAATTAGATTAAATTAATCTCCTCTAGATTAATTTTCAACATGTTTGCTTTTATCCAATCCATCACTCATCCTAGATTCAGATTAATCTCTCCTGTGTTAAGGTTTGTGATGGCTTGCAAAGTTGAACATGGTTTCATGATGAGTAATTCGGATGACTTGCCTGCCCTACTCAACAATAACCTGAGCTAGAAAGAAAGAAAATGGCAGCAGGACAACTGTCGTTGTGAATGTTGCTCCTATGGTAGCAAGCACTGCAACAGAAGGAAGCCAGACCTTCTAGGAGTCTGTATTCTAAATTAATGAAGAAATACAGCAGAAAGCCCCAATAAGTTCAATCCTTATAAGCTCCATCAAAAGGATCCTTATAAGCTCCATCAAAAGGGTCCTGTCATGGATACAAATGGCAAATTACCACTCACCTTGTTTTGCATCTTCTGTACTAGCTGAGCCTGGTGCTGTTGCCCATCCTGGAAGGCTTGCAGCTTACGCTTATGTGCTTTTTCATCTGATTTAAACTGCTGTCTCATCTGCAGGAATGCTGTGCTTCCTTCCTCCTCTGCTCGTTGTGCTTGCTGCAGCTACAGAAATAAATACTTGCTGTGATCCAATTGGCAAAACAAGGTTCTGGGTGCAGAATAGCAAAAAATACAGGGCTGGTTTCTTAAAAGTTATGTAAGTACAATGTGTCAGGATCCAATTTCATGCATGAAAAAAAAAACGGTTTACCACTTTTCTGATAATAAATTACAGGTCTGTTTCCAGGAGGATTTTAGGCTTCTTTCAAAGATTTTGCTAAAATACATTTTCTTTGGAAAGTATCATATTCAAACACTCCGTATACCATGTCCAGCTGCAGTTGCATAGTTAGAAGCAGCAGCATATAAAAATGGAACTAACATCTCATCTACCCTTACATATCTAGGGTGCTGTCCATGGGATATTTTTGCACACCATTGACTCTCTACATTTACACTGCAGAATGTGAGTCCTGGTTGTTCCCTTCAAAGGGTTACTATTACAGTAGAATGCTAGATGGCTGGTTGGATATAAAGATGGCTGCTTTGCCATTCTAGTATGTGGATGATACAACAATGATGGGCCTTATTTTGGATGACAAAGATAGTGCTTACAGGGAGGAGTCTGAGGGTTTGGTGAAAAAACAGCTTGGTTGTAAATATTGGAAAAACAAAAAAGATCATCATTGATTTCAGGAAATTCAGGCACAGACAAACACCTCTTTGTATTAATGATTAGACTATGGAGGTGGTTTCTGGGAGTGCACATTGGTGAAGTGGGCACCACAGCAATTGCATTTTCTGTGTCGCATGAAAAGAGCACATCTTCCTTCCCCTATCCTTACTATTTTCTATAGAGGGATGGTTGAAAGAATCCTGTTGAATTTGGTTCAGAAGTATTACTGCTTTGGACAGGAATGCTGTGCAGAGTGGTGAGGACAGTGGAAAAATTATTGGAAATTCATTTCTTCTATCCCGGACATGGCATATAAATACTGCTGGACCAGGGTCTGTAGTATTGTCAAGAACTCTACGCATCTTCTTCATGACTGGTTTTCATAGTTGCCTTCTGGGAGGAGGCTTTGTCGTATCTAAAGCAACTAGATTCTGAAATAGCTTTGTTCCATATAGTGTCAACCTTGTTAACTCTCAAGATTCCTTTTTTTTGCTATGTATTTAAAATGGATGGTGATTAATATGTCATTTTTGTATAACCTGGCATTTTTGGTGCTGCTGCCATTATTATATTATTATTGTTATCTTTGGGATGGTGGCATTATTCGATGGGTGGTTTCTTCTTTCAAAAGCGGGGAATTAGAATTTCATGTTAATGTGTGCCGTCGTGTATACAGGTAAATGACAATAAAGATTATCTCTCTCTATTTTAGAGGCTACCAGTACATGAAACACTTCTGAAAGAAAATAAATAAATTATTCATTTCTGCAATCATGCCATAATATTTATGTTATGCACACTTAAGGACAGATATACTTTTTTCTTGAAAATAATTTGCTTGGCTTATCCAGATAGAACTTTTCACGTGTCATCTCAACAGATCAAAACAAATTTAAAAATAATTAGCTTCTCTTAAAAACTCTTCTCATAAGAACACATTTATTCATGGAAATGGAGAAGTTCTGCCAAAGATATTATTCAAATGAAAACATAGTTTTAGAATTATATAAATATATGCCACATCCATTGAATCAATTAATGCAAATGCTTAAAAAGACAGAGTTAATCTGCCAGGAAAAATAGAGAACAAATGCAAATATAAACAGTATTTAATCCTCAGGACTTTATGCTGCTGTGCTAGTTTATTAGCAGTTTATTTTTTTCTCTAAATTAATTTAAACAAATACGTTCTTTAATTTTCTTGTGTTTCCTATAATTCATCTGGTTATTTAAAACAAAACTTGAATTAATTTCTTGTCCTGCACCATTTTATATGTTCTAAAGAAATATGGCAAACCTACTGTATACCATCATTCTTTCAAACAACCGAAATTAATTATTAAATAGACAGTACCATTACAGATTATAATTTGCAGCAATCTGATTTCTTAAAATCTAAAATACTATTTAAATTACTAACCACATTTGATACTATAGCTCCCCAAACCACGAGACTTCAGTTTCATTTATGTTATATCAATCCATCAGGCATGACAGAACTTAAATTACTGTCTCCTTTAAATAAATATTGAAATGCAAAAATTTCTACTGACATATACATACATACAATATATATATTGTACATACTCCTTCATTTGTATCTCTCCCTCTCTCTCTGTGTGTTATACATGAAATGTGCTCACAGCCAAGTAAGCACTTATGATTACTTGAATGAAGGTTCCCATTTTCTATCAATAGAGCTTTATTCAAAAATTAGTTTATTAAGTTACCCTTTCACTAATAGCTTGATATTTGCTAGCTAACTCATCCTTCTCTGCACGAGTGTGTGCCAACAGGTCTTCGAGACGAGAAAGTTCCTTCTGCAATAAGCGGTTTTCTTCTTGCATATTGGCTGGAAAGTCTGTTTTGGATAAATCTGGAAAAATCAACAAATAAATTATGGCAAGTCAATCAACTAGTGGTTTAAAATCAATGCAGTATTATTATTTTAGCTGGAGATGTAGCTTTATGCATATGCACAAACACCGCGTACTATTCTTTTTAGGAAGCAGGAACATGGGTAATTCTCTTAGCAATGTAGTGCCAACAGGAAATAGATTTGAATTCCAGTATGTCACATCAAAAAGAATAAGCTGGTATTTTGGATTTAGCAAAAATTTGACATAAATAGAGATGGATGATAAATCTGTTGCATCAGAACTTGATTAGATAGACTACAGAAAAGCCACCTCAATTTATAGAACAATTTGAATATAGAATAATTTGAAAATGAATATAGTAGAAAAGATGTTTACGAGGATGCATACCTACAGAGAAATGCACATGAAATGATGTTAAATGTCCATAGACATTTTCACATAGTTTCTCAAATTTGCAAAATTGAGGACCTAAGAAAAGCTAAGCCTGGAAAAAAAAATCAACCCAGCCTCCAGGTCTATGGTATATGAAGACTTGCTTCCTTATTTTGAATACACATTCTTCTTGAAAGAGCCCCTGAAAGAGTTTGCTGTTTCCAGTTTCATAGTACCTCTTATCACAACTCCTTTAGCCTTCCTGTAAAAAAAATAAATGAGAAGTAGTTGGGCACTAAAACTGTTTTGCTAATGACTATAAAATATGTGATGGATACTAGCATCAACATTTTTTTCCTTGCCACAATAGAACTGAGATGTAATGTTGGCCAATTTCTACACTCCCTCATTGATCGAGTGGAGGCACTGCTACTCATCTCTTGGTGCAATAAGGATACTTGTAGACTATTATAGAAATGGCTTATGCTTGTTTAAGGAGTGATTGGGACTGAAGTGCGGAAATGGATCCAGTCACTTTTCCAAGTCAACAGCCGCTCAGTTGATACTCTGCCAGGGAACCAGAGGAAACCACATATTTTACTGGAAAGAATAGATGACTAGCTCTCTTTTCACATTCTTTGTGAAGGAAATTCTGGGAGCTACTGGAACAACACATCCAGAACACATCCAGTTAGGAAGTCAATCCATTTCTAATATCAATTTATGAGTTTCAGCCTCCTCACCACTTCCTTGCTTTTGAATCCACACACATTATCTGCTAAAGAGATGTCCAATTTAAGGCAGTACCTGAGGATGATGGATCAGATAAGCTTTCTGTAATAATCTGTCGAATTCTGGCTGGGATTGTTGTAGGTGTAGCCTTTTCTCCTTCTCCTCGCACAGTCAATGCTTTGTCATCTCTGCTTGCTCTGGGATGCAGCACTGTATCTTCTAGGGTCTGAAATACACTCAAACATCAAAGCCAGGCTGAAAAACATGTTGGATTTTAGTCAGCCATTCATAGAAGATGGATTACTTGGAAACACTCCTCCATACCCATGAGTGAAGACATATACAGGCAACCTATATGTGTAGGTTTCTATGGTTGCTGGAGTGCTGCACAATCTGATGTCCAAGATTCATGGGAATTTAGTTGCATTGTCTCCCCCTTCCCAGTCAGCAATGCTTAATATATAGCTAGCAGAAGGTGGTGCTGGGGAACTTTGCAAGCCTGGAAGTAGACCCAGTATTATAGCTTAGCTTTACTCTCTCAGTTTAGTATGCATTCAGCTTGTCTAAGCTCATTGAAAGGAATGAGTTTAGACACTGTACAAGATCTGGCCATTTGGATCCCAGCCTCTTATCATGTTGATGAAGCATCCTAACCTTAGGGTTAGGGTTTGCTACAGCTATGAGCTAAGGACGAGAGAAAGGGAAGCATCATGAAGTTATATCATATATATATATACACAAAAGGCTACTGGGGTATGCTCATGCCATAGTTAGAAATTGTTCAGAATAAGTCTTTTGTGTAGTCAGGACTAATAAGTAGATGAAAGAACTCCAGGGATTACTAGACAAATTCAGATTATTATTATTTTTAAAAAAAACACAGAAAGCAGGAAGGGCAAACAACTTCCTTATTGTCATCTCCTCATGTTGTGTATGCCATATAGTACCTATTTAACAGTAACTATTAAACTTTTAATGATCAGTACAAAAGAACATTTTGGCAATGCCATACAGGAGCTCCTTAAGAGAAATATTTTTAGACAAAGTATTACAGATTTATACTTTGACTCTAAAACATTTTTGAAGCAAAACTAAAAAAAATGCAAATGGATTTTATCACAGAATAGTCTAAGGGACCAGATGAAGATATTCAGAATCTACCTCTGATTTTAAAGATGTCTTTTCCTTTAAATATTTTGCCCCTTCAGTCCACAATTTTTTTTTACTATAAATCATAAGAGTTGTTTTCAACTCATTTAACTTCACACACTATGCCAATTTATAAATTTTTACAAAGTTAAAATAATCTCTGTGCTTTGTTTTGGATTTATAGGAATCTTTTCATTTTTTAACTTTTTATCTATGCCAAAACACATGCAATATACTGAAGAATGTTCATGTTCCTTGTTGACACTCAACTTAGTATTTATTATAGCAAAATTCTTATCTGTGGTAATTAAGCTAAATAAATAGATATAAGAACACTTTTTAAAGAAATACATTTATTTGCCTATATTAAAACCCAAGGCTATCCTATTTCACACATAAACTGAATCAGTTAGGGCATATATTGTCTGGTATATTATTGTATTCATATTGTAAGCATTTTATATACTAATGTTTTCTTCTGTGTTGTTTTTTTTTTTTGCTTTTAGACTGCTCTTGAAAAGGAATTCATTTCTATAACATGTTGGACTCTAATGAAATAATGTTCTTGGCATTTGGGATTCTTCTCTCCCTTGTATTCCATCAAGAAATTATATCAATATACCACTACTGAAAATCGTGCTCTAGACTTTATTTTTAATCTGTAAAATTTCAGAGAGTGTATTTTTTGGTCAAATAGCAATATTGCTGCTATTTGAAATATATTATTCCCTGGTGCGTGATACCTTTAAAGTTCTGGACAAGTACAGGAGAAGGGTTTAATTTATCCCAGGAGATGCTAGCAATTTACGACTCTCTTATGAAGCAAGATGAGATTTGGTATTTAAGCAGATTATAGTCAATAGTGAATAGAAACATTTCTCATCTTGTTGCCAAAGCTATCCAGGTGTCTCTCTGTGTAATGGTACTGAGACAATAATATTTCACTGGTGCAGCTCTACTAGTGTTTATAGGGCACGAATATTTTGGGCACTATCATAAATTTCTGCTGCCTTTGAAGTTTAAAAATACATAAATAAATAAAACACATTAGCGCTACTGGACGACTTCTGTATTTAAAAGTCTCAATTCAAAAATTAAAAATTTAAAAAAGTCAAAAGGCTGGTGGAAATATGCTTTATGGCTTATGTAATTCTAAATTTTGTCTCTAATGATCTCTCCATTCCTTGGATTTCTATTACCTCCCTTAAAATGATAAAGGTAACAAATCAAATTGGGTTTTTATTATCATAAGCCAGCCTAAGAGATTGGGGTACAGTTAATTGGAAGAAAAATAAAGTAAAAAACTAAAACATGTAAAGTTAAAAAGGTACATACTGTATATCTGAGACATAGACAGTATAAAAGGTTTTTAAAAAGTGAGAATCTAAAAATCAGAAGAGAAGGCTTAGGGAAGCCTTTCTGTATGCAGTGTGAAAGAAATAATATGGCAAACCTGAGGTTCACCGAATGTAGTTTAATACATTGAATCCCAGCACAAGTCAGACATCATCATCTGACAAAGATAAGAAATGCATCTGCTTATGGTAACTAGTATACAAACACAGCCATTATTCTACTCATATGATTACTGAATGCCTGTGGTAATTTATTAAAAATTGGAGCAGTGAAAAAAAGTGGTTGGGTTTTGTGTTTAGAGGCTAAAGAGAAGGATTTGATATATGCAAAACCAACAGATCATTGATTTCTTGCTCAGACATCCCTATATCCTAGAGTTCTTTGTCAATATTGTTTGTTTTACTGTAATTGCAAATTTGGACTCAATCTAGGTGTAGTTTGTTATCCAGGTCTGATCTCTGCTATATTTTGCTTGTGCACCTGGAGATTTCACTTGTCTCAATAGGTTGACATAATACTATCCCTGAGAAACCTAGAAGCACATTGTGTTAGGAATGTATTTATTGTGTTTGCATGTATATGTGTAGTCATAGATGTATTATCTGCTTATTGTCCTATCATGAAAACGAAAGAAAGCTATTTACTGTAATTATATACCTAACCTTAAAATCAGTGTATATTTTCTGAGTCTCATTCTTGTTGTGGGATGGGAACAGATTGAGCATCTTATTTGATCTCTTAATCTTTCTCAAATATGAGGAAAAAAAAGTTAACTGTAAAGAAATAACCCAAATGCTATGATCTAATTAAATACTGCAATAACCAATGTTTCTCAATCTCAGCAACTTTAAGATGTGTGGACTTCAAATCCCACAACCTGGCTGGGGAATTCTGGGAGTTGAAGCCCATACATTTTAAAGTTGCTGAGATTGAGAAACATTGCACTAACAACATAATGCATGCGATAGCTAAAGTTATAAAACTTTCAGCAAAAAGAACCCTGAGGAATACATAGTTTTGTAAAGGAATCATCTCCCTTTAGCAACTTGTACTGTTCAGTCTAAATCATTTTAGCGTTTCTGCCTTTTAACATAACAGATGCTGTGCTTGAATATAAAAAATGCAAGAGTTGCAAAAATGCCAGTTGTATAACTGTAACAATCAAGCTGCCTATCAGCTACAGCACGAATTTAAAAAATCTAGCTTGGTAATGAGTTACAGCTCATTCAGCCTCTGAATAGGGACCATGGAGAGAGCTGCTTCCTTTGCAGAGGGAGAGGCTGGCACAAATGGGGCAGCTATGGAAAAAATCAGGTCGAAGTAACAGAGTATCAGCTAATACTGTCCACTCACAAAAAGTGAAAGAAAGTGCTACCCACCAATAAATATCATACAAATATAAACCTTGTGTGACTTTGAGATGATGTTCCTATGACTTACCAATCATTCACTTAATCATAGCTTATGTAATTAACCTATTCTGTTAGCTGCACTGAAGAATGTGAACTATTTCTGGGTTGGGTTCATACAACATGCTAATGTAGGATGCTATTAGGTAGTTTGTAGATCAGCACAATAGAAAGCTGACATTTTATTTTGTACAATTAACATAGATTAATGATAACCAAGATCATATTATTAATATCAAATGTATTACATTTCAAATAGGATAGAAAAATCAGTTGCAGCACAAAAGGTTTTATGTTCTACTCTTGAAAGTACCCTTTTGAATAGGAATCATAAACTGGCTCTTATGTCAAAAAGTTGTACTATGTGTACTACACAGCAGAATGCTCAATTACATTTCAAAGATTTCTTGTCCCCTTTTTCTAAGAACAATCTAACTTAAGTACTGTAGAATTGCTCCTTTGGAATCCTTCACAATTAGCTAAAGCTTGCTTATGTAATTTCTATTGAAAATGATGGCTTTATTAACAGTTTCTGGGTTTATACAACATACTGGTTGAGTCTGAATAATGGTTAAGGAGATCTAGTCTATATATATTTATTCTGAATGATATATAGAGAGAAACTTGCAACTTATTTGCACTTATTTAAAGTGGAATGTGTGTGAAGCATCCAAAAACTGCCTTTCTAAACAAATTTTGAATACTGCTAAAATTAGCTAATGGAACCTCCAGAGTTATTATTTGTTTTGCAAATTATTCTAGGAGAGGATATATGTTTAGTTTCTTCTGTGGTGATTTAGTTTTATAATCCCAATGGAACTGTACCCAGGAAAGGAGAAGTTTGAACAGTATGCATCTGAATTCTACAGATATTCACTGAGAAGTCTTAGTTAAGTTCAATAAAAATCATTGCAAAGTTTAAAGTACTATGAAATTGCATTCCAGAGCTGCAATAGTTTCTATACATATTTGGGAATGAGTCCCATTAAGCACAATGGGTTTCCTGAGTAAACTTGCATAAAAGAATGCTGTTATTTGGTTACTTGGAAAGCAATTTCCTTGCAGTCACCACTTTTTTGTTCTTTATTCTCAATCCTTAAATCTTACTGCCCTCTAGCGTATTTAAAATGTTGACAACTCCATAAGATCCAAGGCAACTTTACACCATGTATGAAAAAAGAAATACTAATTGTTACGGATGTAATTGAAATTATATTTTAAAATGTCAGGGCATGCAACTTGTAGCAAAGCTTATGACTATGCAATAGATATCAGTGCTCTTTAGATTACAAATAGTCTGAAGGGAGAGAAATAATATATTCTATGTCTGGCTCTGGATCATGATAGTAGGCATAACATATTAGCCTATGGTTAGTTTACTTAATCATTCTTTATTGAATAGACAAAATTGAATGGGTTTATAAAGCCTACTAACCTAAAAAACTTTTCCCTTTTTTCATAAATTGAGTGACAAATTACAATAATTTTGTTTACAATAAACAAAACTACAAACAACTAAACCATTTTCTAGGTTGAGATACTGACCTGCAGAATCTTTATTAAGTATGGCTTCATGGTTTCTATATAAATACTTGATACAACTTTCTTGCATTCCAATTTAATTTGTCCATGACATCAAACTTTTCTTATATATGTTTCATATAGAAAAAGCATGATCTTTTTCACAGAGTTCTCCATTTAATTTGAAATTACTTAAGAAACCACAATCTATTTCCCTTTTCCAAGCCTTAGACCTTAATATGTATATGGTCCTTTACTTACATTCTTCTCACAACAGTCTGATGGGGTAGAAGATATTACAGCTCATTACACTCCAACAAACTTTCAGACATGAGAGAGTAGAATTATTGACTCCTAGGTCAATATTCTAATTATTACACTGGCATTTGCATTAAGGGACTACTTAAATTGAAACCCATTGAATAAATTCAGTTAAAATTATTACAGTGTCCTTAAAGAAAAAAAAAAGCAAAATTAGCATTCCACCAGCTGTATTTTGTCCAGAAAAAAAAAACTGCAGGGGAGGACACTAACACTTCCACTACTCTCCTTATTCCACTACCCAAGCTGAACCCCAGAATTAGGCCTTCAGGATTCAATGTATTTCTCCCCCAGCAAGTGTTCCTTTAGGAATGGAATGTTGAGAGGTAGGAGAGAGTGAGCTTAGCCCTGTTTTGCTTTGAAATTATTCAATTAGAATACTTTATTTGGCCAAGTGTGATTAGTCACACAAGGAATTTGTCTCCGGTGCAGGGATTCGAGAGGAGGTATTAAAAAGCTGCTCTTTCACTAACCTGGATTGCGGCTTCCAACCTTAAACTTGGCTTCTCCTCATTTCCCTCGCTCATCGCTCAAAACCGGGCCAAGCCCGAAGAGGGAAACGAACGCTAGCCTAGCAAGACTTCTCGCTATATGCAGAACAAGAGAAGTGCATGCATATTTATGTCCCAACTAATCCGGTGTCAATGACTGTTGATCCTTCTTCGCTGCCTTTTAGAATGGAGGAGGTGTGTAAGAGACCTGGCTGCAGTTGCTAAGGCAATGGGAACGCCGAGTCCCTTGTGTTGCCATATAAATAGAATGCACCCCGGGGTTGCCACGGTGACAAGAGACGCGACAAACCGAACTGTTTTCCTAAGTCAGGCTGCAAAGAAAATGGGACATATTCTGTTCAGAATGAGGATGATTGGATGTTCTCTAGAAGACAATCTGAATCAAGAATCGCATCCTCAAAACATTCAACAACAGCACATTTTACTATTCTACTCTGCAGTATATTTCTGCGGAAAACTTTATTCTAGTGATTTAATCTTTATTTTTTTTTAAACAGCCATTTTTTGTGCAATATAAATAATCTCATTTCCTTATTAATGCATCAGAGTTATGCAGGATATTCTAGGAAATATGTTTGATTAATCATATTGCATTTTACTTCCATATTTATGATAGGGATAATTAAATATGTAGACAATTTGTAAAGAATTTATTAGTAGTATTTGTGAAGTGGCTTTCAACATAAATATTACATCAGTGTACCTCCAGCAATGCATTCATTTTAAACTTTTTTTAAAAGGCAGCGTGGGTGGGTCCATGTATGTTTTCTATTGAGCCATAATTTCCATATTAAATCTTATTAGCATAGGCAATAGCTGTTGGGAGATGAAGTCCAATTTACCAGAAAGATACCAGATTGGAAAAGGCTGCGCTAAGGAATCAATTTTAGACTGTATTTCCTTTTTCTTGATATAGCAACATTTCCTTCTAAAAAAAATACAGTAAATACACCAAGGTGTGGCACTTGAGTAATTTTTTTTAGAATCAACAATGTCATGAGGCTATATTCTTCAAATTTTTTCCTGAACTAAATGTAAAGGAAAACATAAAAAGATAAACCATTTTAAGTACATTATATAAAGTCCCTAAATCACCAGTTTATAATATTCTTGAAGACAATGTGATACAATGCAAACTTAGACTTGCTTTCTCAGAACTAAAATACTTTTGTTTCTTGTGATAACTTTTTTTTAAAAAAAATACTAGATTTAATTTTCTGTATCTTTGAGTTTCTTTTATATTAATATATGTTGTAAGTACTTATTATGTGCACATAATCAAGCACATAAATTTTGTCTATGATGGCTGTCCCTATCTTGGTCTTTCTGATCTTCAACAGTACACTCTTTGTTACTGTAATTGAGTCCATCCACCTTGCTGCTGATCAGAGGCGTAGCGTGGGGGGTGCAGGGGGGGCCGGCCGCACCGGGCGCAACATCTGGGGGGGCGCGCTCGCACTCGCAGCTCTCTGCCCCTGCCTGGCTCACTCACTCTCTCTGCAGTGCTGGCTGTGCGAATCCGATCTGAGCCGCCGGGTCGCCGACGCCGCCCACTGTGGAGGGGGGGTGCCTTGCCCCGGGTGCTGACAACCCACGCTACGCCACTGCTGCTGATCATCCTCTTCTTCTTTCTCCTTTCATCTTTCCTAACATTAGTATCTTCACCAATGAATTCGTTCTTTGCCTAATATGTGTAACATAGGATAATTTAGGCCTGGTTGTTTGTAGTTCAAGTGAGACTTCTGAGTTGATTTGTTTAATGATTAATTTTATTAATTTATTCAATGGTTTTATAGGGCATTCAACAAACAATGAGACTGGGTAGCATTCAACAAAAACAAACAGTAAACAGAAAAAAAAAGTTACCGAACATTTAAAAAAGCAACCCAACATATAAAATTTAAAATGACAATTGAACATAATAGTTAAACAACCAAAAGGGGAGTCCTCTAACTGGACTTCAATGCCTGGAGAAAATAACCCGTAGGTTTTGATGGGTTATACAACAGCAAGCAGATTTGGGGTGACTACTGTGTATCAGGGCAGGGGGAGGGAGATCATTCCAGAGCACAGGAACAGCAATAAAAAATGTACAATAAGATGGCAAAGTTTAAGAGAGAGAACGTAGAATGTGCCATCCCAATAGAAGCATGTGAGGTGGACAGATGTTCTTAGGAGGAGTTCCACAAGTAATCCAGCCTCATATCATGTATGACTTTAAAGGTGATAACTGGCACCTTGAATTACACTCAGAAGCCTACTGGGTACCAGTGCAGCTTGCTGAGTAATTATGTCATATGGGTGTAACAGGTTGTGTCCATAACTACCTGCTTTGCAGCCTTTTGGATCAACTGAAACTTCAAGGACAGCCGCATGTAGAGTCCAAGTGTGAGGCCACTAAGGCATGAGTGACCACCCAAAGTGTTGCACAATCATAGTAGAATTACCATTGGCAGTATTATTTTGATAAACACAATTTTTAGCCTGTTTATATTTTATTAGCCCATACGTTAGCCAGGAGTTAAGTTGATGTATACAATTTTTCTTCACTACAAAGTTTGTTGAGATGGTGACAACTGTTGCAGTGAGCTTTGTGACTTAGTAGGAATTGAATGCTGGGTCAGTACAGCTGGATTAGCCCCACTTTAATTTGTATGGATTTATTCCAGTAAACCCAGTTTTTCAGGCTAGCTAGGTAGGACAAGTCTGATATACCAGAAAATAATATTGAGACAACCGGATGTCTCAGCTGTATCACCTGAACATACCAGTTTGACTGTTTTAAAATAACTTGGCACCCTATCAACTATGAAACAGGGAAACAGAAGAGTTTTTTAATGCATGAGTGGAATTTTACTGTGTATGTGGCTCCTCCCTACTCTAGTCCTCCTGGCCACACCATTTCCACTTTTATGCATATCATAGATTTTTCAGGGCTGTACCAATGTTTTTGTCTGCTTCCAGAGCTACCTTGGGCAACAAAAGGATTTACAGGAGGAATTTCATCTCTGCCAACCTTCCATCATGGCAGAAAAGGTTTCTAACTGGCATAGCTATCTTCAGGTGATTCAGTCCCGTGAATATCAGAGAGTGCAGCATTTTCAGAAGGCAGAAAACATTTTGTTTATTGTACTGGAAAGAGTCAAGACAATGGATTCTAGATTTATAGTGGATTATTCAAGAAACTTGGAAGCCTTGGAATTTTCCCTCTCAGCTGCAGAAGATAAAGTTACCATGGAGGTTCCCTTACGTGTCAATGCCGAGGTTCTCCTGATGCAACCATGTACAGATGAACAAAGTAATTCTGATAATGTTACTCATAGGAATTGCCAGATGCCAGGACCATGCTATTTAAGGGTACCCAAGCAAGAAACCAGCCTAGAAAACTGGACCAAAGAAGATGTGTTCAGTGCTGTGGATGATGCTGATTCCGGGGGACATATTGTGCCAGGCAAAGTCCTTCATCTCCTGAAAGAACTGATAGTTGCTGCCATTGTTCACTGCAAACTCCAGAATCTTATTAAGCCAGGTACTGTTTCAGAGGTAAAGAGAGAACGACAGCAAACTATTTAAAATATTAAAAATCTTTTTTCAGGATTAGCATTGGAAAAGAGTGAGAGGATTGGAAGAATACAAGAGGCTAGATGTAAATCATTAATCAAACCAGCATGCTATCTTGTGAGGGTATATGTAAAAAAAAAATCTAATGTATATGTTGGATTATTCTGTACCTCCAAGTGTGTATGATAAAATACACCAGAGAACCAAGAAGAACAATCTAAGCTGGTATGGTATACAGTTATCCAATTAAAGTGTGCACTCACAAAAGGTTAGCATTTGTAGAATGCTACTGCATTCTACACTCTTGTTCTAATATAATACTGCATTCTACACTCTTGTTCTAATATAATAAATGAGACAAGGTGATTAGCGATATTGCTGCTAAAAACAAAATAATAATAATAATAATAATAATAATAATAATAATAATAATAATAATAATAATAATAATAATAATAAATATTAACCATAGACATTTGGGTAACTCATAACTTCACTGTAGTAGAAATGAGTTCACAATGGCCAGTTTAATAAGGCTGAAGCTAAGAATTAAAAAAAAAAAGCTTGCTATTGCTATAGAAAAGGAGGTAAAATAAAAGAAAGAAGCCTTGATGGTATTCTCTGCTTTTAAAAAAGAAGTATTACTTCTCTCATGGCATATTACAGACTTTCAACAGTGCTCCTAATTAAAGGATCCAGAAATTGTGCAAGCATTAGTAAAAGAACTGTGTCTGCTTTACTAATTATCACTGACAATTCAGTTTATTATATCATACATAAACCAATGAATCCACAATGTGGTTGATTTCATTTTTCCAGTTACTAAATGCTTGCTTTGAGTACTCACTAAATGCTGACTCTCCATCATTGGGGGCTAGACTTGAAAGAAATTTTGAAGATTATTTTGTATTTATTGATTTATTTAATCTTGTTCATGTCTATACAGTCCAGCAACCTAGATTCTGGGTAGTTTATGAACATCATAAAATTATTGCCAAGAAAATCCCAGCATGAATTAGCACAGTTTTCAAAATTATAGTAACATAGCAAGCCTAGTGCCCAATTGCCATAAATTTTGGAAGCACCCACATTTTTTCAGGCTTATATAGAAACTTGGAAACAGGCCCAGCTACATTAAGAATAGCAAAGTAGTGATGTTTGCATGAATCCCAAAGAACTTCTTTTTGAGTCATTTCTGGAGAAGGCAAAGCCCTACACGTTGAACATTAATCAGAAGTGCTTCATACCTCAACTTTGGCATGGCACCTTTCTGTTATTCATTAAAGGAATGTGACATAAAAAAAGTACCACTGCCTGACTTTAATGGGTGGAGTTCTTAAAATGGTGGTATCTTTCTTTTTTTCAAGCTCTCACTGAAGCCTGAAAATGTACAGGTGCTCTTAATCAAATCAACTCAGATGGCTCTGTACTATTTATTTCTAATGGTGCATAATCTAAGGACAGTTCAGTAGGCTGGAAATGAGCAGATATGTTGCTTTGCCCAAATTGGCTTACTTTAAAATTTATAAGTAAATTTAACAGATGTTTTTTACAGCTCTCATTTGCACTCACTGTATAATAGCCAAGCTCACACTGTGTTGTTATCCAGCCTCAAATTGTTAATGTTAATGTGATGCTATACTTTGCTTGGGATAAGTTTTTTCTTGCTCGAGGGACTTAGTTTCTGCTTGTTTTTAAGGGAATGCATTTTTCTCATGTGATTGCTGATTTCCAATCTGCTTGATGCTGCTTGATGCTGTTACACCTTACAGCAATGTTTTCTCAGGTATTTGTATCAAGCCAGGAAGAATTACAGGAAATGATTTAAACTGAATCAGAGCAATTTACAGTAAAAAACATAAAAGCAGAGTAATAATCATAACCCAGCAAGAACCAAACATAAAAAAGTAACAGTTACACCAAACAATTATAATCCTTAATAAAACTCCAGAAGAATTGAAAAGGTATTTGCTATTTGAAGAATATTTACATATATACTATATACATCTTCCAGGGCAGGATTTTAATGTATTTCTGAAATAGAGGAAATACAGTACTAAAAGACAAAACAGATTGCAGATTTCTATAATCTGAATATATCATTTTATGTGCGCATTATTAGGCTACTGTATACAAAATTAAAAACAATTTAAAAATCTATAAAAATTGTGAAATAATAATTTTAATTACATAAGTGTATCTCAGCAGACTATGACCAGCTGACTTATTTTTCCTGTTTAATCCATATTGTTAGTGGGCAGCTTCATGGCTGTGTTCTCCCTTAATACAATTCTTTAGCTTAAGCTGAACATAAGATATTCAGAACAAAAGGGTCAGCACAGGGCTGGGATATATATACCTGGTCTCTATTCACTTCAGATTAGATTACAGAGTCATGGAACTGAAATAGGCTATTTACACCCAGCAGGTCTATGTCTCTACTCAGTGACCCAGTTTTAAGTACAGGTAGTCCTTGACTTTCAGCAGTTTCTTTAGTGCTGGTTAGAAGTTACAATGACACTGAAAAAAGTGACTGATGACCATTTTTCACACTTACGAACATTGCAGCATCCCCATGGACATGTGATTAACATTCAGACACTTGGCAACTAACTCATATTATTCCAGTTGCAGCTTCCTGGGGTCATGTGATCACCTTTTGCGACCCTCTGACAAGCAAAGTCAATAGGGAAGCCAGATTGACTTAACAACCATGTTACTAATTTAACAACTGCAACGATCCACTTAATAACAGCAGCAAGAAAGGTTGTAAAATAAGGCAAAACTTATTTAACAACTGTCTCACTGGGAAACAGAAAGTTTGGGTTCAGTTGCAGTCTTGAGGACTACTTGTATTTCAGTCTGTGTAATTATCATACTACTATTCACATATATTTTATGAAAGCAGATTACCACCTCTTGTTAATTGATATCCCGACAAGAGTTTTACTATTGGGATTCTCCATACCTCCACCACCTTTCATTTGGAATCCCGTACTTTAAATCCATCATTCCATGTCTTGCACTCTGCTCTGATGGAGCACAGATCTTGATTTTCTTTTGTGTGTGATAACTTTTAAAGTAATTGAAGAGGGCCATAGGTCTTTTTAGCTCTCTTCCCAAGGCTAAACAAACCAGGCTCCTTCAAGTTCTTTAGAAGACTTAGTTTCTAGGACATCCTAACAGCTCTTCTCTGAACCTATTTCAAGTTCCTAAAGTATATTGTGTATAACTGGATACAATACCACACTCAATGAAGTATCTGATCAAAACAAAGAAAGAAAGAAAGAAGTGGAGCTGTTATTTCTCTAATTTAGAAACTATATTTCTGAGACAAAAAATGTTCATTTGCCTTTTTGGCAGTGACGTCACACACTCACTTCATTTGCAATCAACTATAATTCCAAGACCTTTTCACAAGTGTTAACATTAAGTCATTTCTCATTTTATTTCATGCATTTGTTTTTGTCTCCTAGGCCGGAAACTTGGTTTTGTCCTTATTAAATTTTATTCTGTTACTTTCAGATATTTATCTCCCATCGAGGTAATTTTGAATTTTGTCTTCTAGCCTATTAGCTATACCACTCAGTTTTGTGTCATCTATAAATGTGATTTCATTCAAATCATTAACACATAAACTTGAATGAGATGACTACATCCAAGATATTAATAAAAAAACTGAAAAGTCATGGATCCAGTAAAGAACCTTGAGGCATCAATTATCACTGTTGAGTTAATAAGGAGACACTGATGAGCAATCTTTGAGTACAGTTATCAAACCAAGTACAGTATGTAGTTATCATGCTACCTTATACTTAATTAATTAGACTGTCGTGTGGTGCTTTGAAATCAAGATGCTGCTGATATTGATCTTGCCTTTTTATATTTATTATTTATTCATATTTCTATACCATCTTACCTAAGTGATTTTGGATGGTTATACACACACACACACACACACACACACATATCTCAAGGCAGTGAACATAACAAATACTCCTTCCTCCTATTTTCCCCAACCAGCAACCCTGTGAGTCAGATTGGAATGAGAGAGAATAACCCAGCCAGTTTTATGTCCAAGGAAGGCCACAGTCTCTTGGTATCTCAGCAACCACCTTAATTACTATACCAATCAGGCTCTCAGTAAGATCTATTGTGTCTATAACATTTCCATCATTAAGAGACATTCTCTATTTAAAAAAAATAGATGCTGCAATGTTAATATAGCAAGACTTGTTCTTTACAAAGCAATGCTTTTTTCTAGTAGTGACATTATTTTTAAGGTACTTACATACTTTATTGTGGAGAAGACTGCTAAGAAGCTCTGCCGTATATGTATATGTGTAAATTAATATACAGCTTAATATTGTTAAAGCGTATTGATAAATCTCATTATGATTGGCTCTAGAATCTACTTAGGGTTGCCAGGTGTCCACTATTTGAGTGGACAGTCCACTTTTTTCACATTATGTTCACTATTTTTTTTCACAAAATAGTGGACATTTTTTTTATTCAAAAGCTTTATGATGAAATGGTACGTAATCTAAAGCTGTACAGTCTACTTTTTTTACTACTTAACCCCCCCCCCCCCCGCTTGTCCACTATTTTTTGGAAGCAGACCTGGCAACCCTAAGAATCTTCCATACTTATCTTTGCTTTGTTCATTTTGAAAACAGTGATATTTGCTTGTCCAAATACATGACACTCCACATATCCTCCATGATTTTATCAAAGGCAATACATAAATGGTTTGAATAAGCTTTCCAATATTAAGAAGAATCAGAACCAAAACATAATGGTTCAGAGAAATTGAGCACAATGCTGAACACAATGAGGAAGTGAAAAACTAAAGGGAAAGGAAATAAAACAAGGCATTGTTGCTTGGTCTGAATAGAGCATAAAATGTTGTAAACCTCACTCATTTTGTATTTAATTTATTATTTATATTAAAAATCATTTCATATTATGGAAGTCTGGTGATAACAGGATAGAAGAAATGTGTCCAACTGAATTTGCCTGGTAGCCTTCACTTTTTGTCATAGTCTCTGAGGCTTGGGAGTGTTGATCACCATTTGGTGGTGGTTCCCTTCTTTCTTAAAAGGGATGCTCCAGTTGGTAATGGTGGGGAAAGACTGAGACCTAGGCTCCTTTGCTGTGGTGAGTTGTTGAGCTGAACGTTCCCATAATAATTTATGAATGTTGGGAAGGTACACGTTGTTCAGAGTTATCAGCAAATTGAGTAGCATATAAATATTATAGGTAAAGTAAAGTAAATAAAGTAGTCCAGCCACATATTTTTCCTCAAGTTTTACTACACTATAAGATGTGAATACACTATCCACTGGATACAGAAATTGTTAGCACTATAATGGTTTAGATAAGTTAAACCTTTAAAGGCAAGGAGAAATGTTTATATTAATGTTAAATATAATTTCTAAAATATTACTAAATATGCTTGTTTGAATTGTACAATCAAAACTATGAATGGTATTGTTAAAAATTGGCAAAATGTTTATTCATAGGTTTATATAGAAAAGGCAGTATGTTCACTTATAAGATTATTTGGATTATGGATTCAGAGATAGGGCAGAAAAGGGCAATACAAATTTGTTATCTGCCCCACCCTTCTAATGGTATGCTGCTATTAGAAGACAAATAGAATAAACATTAGATGCTAAAAAAAAGAACTAACATGTTTGCATTATGCGAATATACATAACAGGTCCTGGTCTGAACAAGTTCCAAGCTCTTTCCCAACAATTAGCAGTTGATTTTTCATTATTCAGATAAGAACTCCAACAACACATGTGGGCTGTCAACACCCACTACTAACTTTACTATGGATACTTACGTTGATTTCAAAACAGTATTTAATTTTTTTTCTGCTCATTTTCTACAACTTGGTACCCTCTATGAATAGACTGTAATTCCTATCACCACCAGGTAGCAGAGTTATCTGTAGTAAGGGGAATTGTGTTCCTGTATCAGGAGGATGCTTGCTTGGAGCAAAAACAACTGAAATACTGGGACAGGAATGAAAGAATTACGGTTCCAGAGACGCAAATTTATAAATCCATGTATCCATTTCTAGAATTCTGATACATAGAAAGCCAATCATCAGATACTTCAGTCCTGTTAAAGCAAGCTACTTTTGGCTTGGCTATTGGATAAGATGAGGGAAACTACTATGATACTTTCTTTTTGCAAAATTTAACCATTATTACAGAATAAACTGCTATTACTTGCAAAGGTAATTTTATCCTTAAAATAGCTTTTATATATTGGCCTTACTTTTGTCACAGTAATGTCAATAACTATATTGATTAAAATTTCTAAACAATGCGATACTTAAAATGCAACTAATAACAAGAATCAGCGAAGGTCTCTCTTTTATACCACAGAAGTTTATTCTCCCCACTTTAATTTTCTTTGTTTAGGTGTGAGAATACTTTGAAGTATGAACAGTGACATATAGGGAAGAGGGAGGTGTCACCTGTTTTCCTTGTTATGGAGCTCTTTTCTTTTATTATCTCTTTGTTCTGCTGCCACCACTAAACCTATTTTTGCTTTAGAAATTCTTTAAGAGTCTAATAAAATGTAACTGGGTGGAATGTGGGAAAGCTATAAATAGCAAATACACTTGATTTACCTAGAAACTAAGGGACAGATGAACTTTTGTTAAATAACTAAACATTGTTTTAGTAAATATTCAATTATTTCCACAAAGTATAAATATTCCATTAATACTTACCTACCCTGGTCCACAAATTATTCCTAACATGTGCCCCAGACAGACAGTTATTTTCAGGGGACATATAGCCCCGGCCCCCAGACTCATCCTTGCTTCTACCCCACCAAATCTCTGCTCTATTTTTTCCTTCTCTTGGAATATATTCAGGGAGATGACCTGACTTTACATCTTTTAATTGGAAATTCCACATTGCAATCATCCCAGGAGTTGGTGGGGCAAATTATTTTACCAAGGTGTATAGAAAAATTGAAGGAAGGCAGGCTAGTATTCAAAATTGCTAAAATACACAATCAGTTTTAGGATGGAGTGTCTGATTCAGGCAAATCAGTAGAAAAAACATATTTTTAAAGAATAGGTGGTCCTAACAATTTATGACATATAAGTACTTCATCTACTTAGATAATATGGAGAATACTTTTACTGGCAAGAGTTTACTATTAAGTCCCTCTGCAAACATAAAAAACTAATTCATATTGATTTTGATTTATTGTACCTAAGTTCTACTGAACTCTTCATTAAGTGGAATCCTCCAATATTGCCCTCTTTGTGATTTAAGACATTGCTTCCTGTTTATGCTTTTGGACAGAAGCATTATTTGCCAAAGATGCTAAGACCCAGGGGTTAATATTCCTTCAAGATGCTGAAGTTGAGGACTAGTTTGCCATAGTCCTTTGACTTTCACTGTGTTTTTTTCTCCCTTAAATCAGGTGAACTTAGTGCTGAGAGGCTAAATGAGGACGGGATGCAGCTGCCTTTGTTGGTGTCCAGTGACTGGAAAACTATCTGCTTCAATATTATTCCAGTAATCAGGAGAAAGCAGGATACTCTGAACAACTGGCAAGAAAGAGGTTTCCCAAAAGGCAGCCTGAGCAAAGTCACTCAAGAAGCTGTTTTCATCCCTACCAGTTACCATCACTGGAGGTAAAACTGATGCTGTTGTGAAAGCTAGTTTATGGGGAAAGCCCTATTTTTTAACATAAAGGCCTCTTTCCAGATGCACTTCTAAGAAGATTTCTATGATATAGTGTAACAGAAGGAAAATGATAGATCATATACATGGCCTCCGGATCCTATTTCATACCTACTAACATATTATCATATTTTTACACCCAAGCTCGTAAAGGCTGAAGATGTGCTTCTTTTTAAATGCAAGTATGAATGCAGTGGAGGTAATCTGCCTTCTTCTTGTGAATCTGAAGTTTTCTGAGAAAAAATAAACAGGCTAGGTAGCCTTCCTTGGAAGATCAGAATTCCCAGCAGCATGGACTTACATATCAAAAATGTATATAGGAAATTTAGCTTTGTAAAATGCAAGGGAAATGTTTGTTCCTTCTGGGTTCATATTATAAGGAACAGTAAGTATCCCCTAATGAAAAGATAAAACATTAGTTACATATAGTATGTCAGGATTGCTTAGATGTAGACTCAATTATTTTAGAATAGAGTTTGGAATAGAGCATTTTGTCCAAATTCTATGATATTATCCTAGAGCAATGAGGTTTCAAGGTTACAGGTCTCTCCAGACTTGTGCTTTCTAGTCCCTTGGAGCCCTCTTATAATAAAATTGTCAAAAATCAAAAGAATGGAAATCTATCATTTTGAGATGGGAAACACAATAAACATCCTATAACACCTCTAAGTTTAAAATACAGTAAATTATTCAAAACATTCAAAATCCAGAGGAAAAGTTAACATCCTGTCCCATTTATATCTCTGAGGTGTTCCTTCTACTTCTGCAGTTTTCATACTCTCCAAGAATATTAAGTATGGTTGCTGGCCACCAAACTTTCTCACCTGTGAACTTTTCATAGTTGATATAAGGAACAGACAATACTATGTCAAAGAGTTGTTGGGCTACCCAAAACTTTGTTTGATGTTTATAGTTTAAAGCCATGAAACAAAGTATTGCTGCAGTTTTCTTAAGCAACTTGTTTAGGCATGATATGTACTATTATCTACTCATAAAATCTCTATAGATAGAAATCAAAGAGGTTGGCATCCGGAATAGATATAATCTGGTGTTGTCAGTAATTGCTGTGTTTTTCACAAAGGCATGCAGAGATTGTAAACACTTGTGCAGAGATGCAGAATTCTCATCAGGTTCTAATAGTTCTGTGGGACTCATTCTTACTGCCATCTCAGCTCCAAATTCTACTGGTAATTTGATCTGTCCCAAAATGGAAGCTTAAATCTCACAACTTCTCCACTTTGTTTGTCTTGCTTGCTTCATGGCATAGTTTTAGGTACACATATGGGCTTCTGAGTACTAAAAACAGACCAAAATTTTTATTTATTTCCACATGCCTATATAGATGATCCTCGCTTAAAGCCCACTCATTCAGCAACGTTTAAACTTATGATGATACTATGAATGAGTGGTACTAATAACCAGACATTGTACTTATGATGGTCGCAGTCTCTCCATGATCACGATTACTATTTGTGACCCTTTTTTCCTATAAACAAAGTCAATGGGTGAGTTAGCAGGAGATCACACATGAAGTTGTGCTTAACAACAGCAACAAAAAATGCTGGAATTTCCATCACCAAAAACCATACTCATGTGATGTCATACAACTGTGTTGCTTAGTGACAACAATACTGGTTCTACTTACCATCATTAAGAGAGGCCTACCCATAATGCTCTAATTCTTTTGACACTAGGCATTTACACAATAGAAAACATCAAATATAAATAACAAAATTTCAAATGCAGCACAGATCCATTGTTCACTCTAAAAGCTCATTGGAATAAGATTTTTATTATCTTACGAAATGCCTGGCAAATTCAGGGCTCCTCTTATTTCAAGAGGTAAGGTATTTTATAGTGTGAAGCTGCTACAACCAGGAATACATGCTTTTGGATTCCAATCTACTGAGCTTCACAGGAAGTGGGACATAAAGCAGTACTTCCCAGTATGAACATAGAGGGCAAACTCATTTTGGCCAAAATACACTTCTGAAAATTCATAGGTTCAAATAACACCTTGGTCGCAGTGTGTATTGGTAACCAGTACAGTGATCTCAACATAGGTCAGCAATATGACACTGATACCTTGCCATCAGCAATTGGACTATAGTTAACATGAATCAACTACAGCTTCCAAGTTGTTTTCAAAGGAACCACCTTGTAAAGTGTGTTATAGTAGTCTAAATATGAAGAGATGGGAAACTGAGTTGCTGTTGCAACAGCATCCCAATCTGAGAAAGCCACCAGCTGACATACCAGGTGAAGCTGGGAAAAGGTCCTCTTGAGTAGAAAGATAAGATACTGATGCATCAGTGACAAACTGCACTGCATCTTCTACAGGAACTGTATCTTCTATACAACAATTGGCTGTATAGCCAGAGCACTTAAAAAAATAGTTTTAGGTATATGATTGGCAATTGTTTAGATTTTAGGGGTAATCTAATATACCATTCTATCAGAGAGTTGCCATTCTAGTCCATATTCTAACCATAGTAAAAATGAATTTAACAGTTGGCTGTTTTTATATTGGGATTATTTATGACCAGTGTAGCTCTTTGCAAATATTTAAAGGCAAATCCATCAAGGTCATCAACATAAGGCAGCCAGCTATGTTTAATATTTGTACGGATTATATTTTTTTCTCAGTCTTTCTATGACCTATGATAATCAATATGTAAACTTGAGAAGAGGACAATTGGTGTCAACTAATTTACTACAGGACATATTTAGCACAATTAATAATAAAGATCTAGTTTAGAAGTCTTTAGAAATCACTCTGAAGAAGGAGTTTACAACTTGGTCAATTCGAAAAATTATTTCTCTGCAATTATTGTTCTGCCATAGTGGAAAATTGTAATTTAAATTTAAATATTTATATAATGCAGTGCCAGAATGAACCTTGATTGAAATATTGAATTTTGTTACAGCTGAATTTCACCTTCCTAGTTATGTTTAAGTTTTATTTTACAAAATAATTATCTCTCTTTGGTATATAAATAAGGCATCCCTCAGAGAGACTTCAGAAGCAAAGCAGAAAACCTATTTGATCTGGCCAGAACAGATGTGTAGTACACAATAGGTGGGGAAGTCTTGCTTGCATTTGAGATCACACAACTATCAAGAGGTTGACAACAAAATGAGGGACGCTAGAGATTTGCTAATGTTACCTATGGGTTGATTTTACTTGTTACATATCTGCAAATGAGGGAGTGGCTGAAATATCTACATACTTGCAACAAAAATAGCATATAAAATGATAGCGCTGGCTACAGTCAATATAGTTTGTGATAGGGAAATGTTACTGAACCTGACTATCCCACCCTTGACCTGCCTAGGTGTTCCACAGTATATATGTGGAATCCTATTCACTTGTTAGTGCAAATATTTACCATCAAAACTGAGAGGATAAACCAATGCATTATGAAATAGAGAAATTTTGGACTCTAGATACATATGCACATGTACATATATGTTTCCTTCCTAGGAGGAAACATATGATTATATTATATTCTGATTGCCAAATGTGTACAAGAATGTTTTAATGTTGTTTGTAGAGAAATCTGTATAGTTTAACAGGGGTAGTCAACCTTGGCTCTTTTATGACTCGTGGACTTCAACTCCCAGAATTCCTGAGCCAGAATGTGGGAACTGTGCAAGGAACTGATTTTTGTGAAGTGATCTTTGTCATGTATGTTCAGCTTAGAAACAGTGCATCTTCCTTGAGAATCACAAAAACTGTCAATGGTCTCTACAGTCCTTAGGTCCCTAAAAACAACTAGGAAGTCCTTGGCTCTATGGATATTCAATTACATTCTTAGCATCTCATTACCTTTGCTAGTTGGAGTGTTAGGAAGTGGAGAAGTTGCCTTGTTTTAGGTAGCCATGTCCTCAAGAAATCAGTTTGAAATATTAATATGCATGTTGATTTCTCCAGTAACTCTCAGCATGGATATTAATATGAATTATGGATGAATGAATCCTACAATGAAACAGACTAAAGTCTGAAATAAAGTGTTAACTTCTAATTGCATATTTCTCTTGTCAGCTACTCCACCAATTGTCCCATCTCGAAACTTGTTCAAACTGTAAGCACCCTAAAGGGATATCGCCTGGACAGTCTCTGCCTTCTTGATCAAATCAACCATGAGTATTGGAGAGAGAAAGGGAAGGAAAAAGGACTCACATTTCAACATTTGAAGGTTGGTGGGATTTTTTTTCAGGAGTGCAAAACTTAATTTTGGTTCAAATAGATAACTATTAATATAGTAGTTCAAACATTATTATACACTTGGCAAACACAGAAAAGATAACAGAATGATCAGCAGTCTCCCCCCATCCCTGAAGCCTCCTGATATATTGGGCATCAACTTTCTGAATCAAAGGAACCCTTTAGGCAGCATCTTTAAGGGGAGGAGGTAGGGAAAGTACTTAAGTATAGGCAGAAAATAGGAAAGCCTCTCTTTATAGATATGTATAGATTTATATATATCTTCTCTAGTGTCTGATTGGCAGAGGAGGCTACTAGGGAAGGCCATAGAGTACTGGAGATCAGGACTAGCAAGTCCCTTTTATCTCCTTATGCTTCATATAGTAATTGAACAAAGATTAAATATGGCTTAAACAAATTGCTGAATATTGTGTAAATTAAACATGATTGCAAATCAGTAAGAGGGAGCAACTCTGAAATGTTCTGTACATTTGCTTTCACTCAATGCAGGGCTAGAGTTTTTACAAACTTAGCAGAATATCAAATGCTGCTAGGGCAGTTTGAATTTCATATTTTGGATGTGATCCATTCCTTACCACTGCAGGTTAGAAAAGATGGGAGTAGCAGAACGTGTTTTACAAAAATCTGGGTGTGTGCATACAGCTCACAAGCAATGTAGCTTAATCATTGCACCTTTTCATTTTAAGCTAGCTACATGTTCATTCCAGAAATGAGGCCAATTTCAGAATGAACTGAAGTAAGATTTATGGTTTATTTTTGTTCAGCTTTGTTTATGAATTCTGTTATTAATTGGACAATAGTTTATTAAGCTTATCTTGTTTGCCTTAACTTTGTGAATGGCTTTTTAAAAAAAACTTCCAGTACCTGCATTTTCTTTTTAATTGCAACTTAAAAAGCTTAGGAAACATCAAAGAAGCAACTTACTTCAATGCACTATTCCCCACACCATTTACCCAGGGAACTGTACTACACTCCCCAAAACAACGTCTAGTAGCTCAAACAAAATCTTTGCTGCGTGGTACATATATTTTACTGGGAAATGTAGATTAAGCAGGTTCAAAAAGTCAGCTCCCTCATAAGTATACCAATGCACTATGAATCTGATGGCAATGCCCATTTTGTTCTCTAAATTCGTGGATATCTAATCCAAACTCTTAAGAAATTTGCTCTCCAATGGGATTTTCCCATGCATTTTACCAGGAAACATAGATAAGGTAGACTTGAAATATCAGCACCGTCCTTAGCATATCGACACACTGCAAGCGATATCCATTTTGCTCTCTGAATTAATGGAGACCTAACCCTAAGTCAATTTGCCCTCCAATGGAATTTCCCAAGTATTTCACCAGGAAACGTAGATAAGGTAGGCTCAAAAAGTCAGTGTCCTCCTAACTGTACCAATGTGTTACAAATTCATTGGCGATGTCCATTTTGCTCTCCGAATTCACGGTGACCTAACCGCAACTCTAAGTGGATTTGCCCGCAAATGGGATTTTCCCGTTTATTTGATCAGGAAACATAGGTAAGGCTTCCCAACTTGTCTGTAAGCTCAACTTTTTAAACAAGGCTTCATAGCTTGTTTTCTGTAGAATAGTGCTTCTGGTCATCTATCGAGTTTTTTTTATATGACAATGGCTATCTTGCCTCTCTTGTTCAATGTATAATAAATAATAATAATATGTTTGGTTTTACATATATTTGAAAGGCGTTTTTGCACTGCATTTAGTAATTATTCTTACTTCCTCCTAGATGCTATTGCTGTGGGCTACTCATTTTTTCTCTTTTTCTGAAGACTGGCTGAGTCTGGAAGGATCAGTATATCGTCTACTGGTGATCTTACTCTGCTGCTTGGTGACCAAAGATCTTCCCCATTTTTTATATCCAGAGCAAAATCTGTTCAATAATGATAGTCTGGACCTAAGTGCTTTGTACCCCAAAGTGGAAAGCTTTGCCATAAGTCCTAAGCATTTCCTAAAGTTTAATTTCATCCAAAGAGAAGGCAAGACATTCCATCAGAAGGATAATGGTCTCAAAGCTTTACTTCATCTCCCAGCTGAAAACAGAGACTACTGGGATACTGCCTTTTTTGATTTGCTGCTTAGCAAGGTAATTAGTTATAAATACAAGGTTTCAAATTTATAATTTGATATTTTTCCAGGCCTGTCTGTAAGATCTTAAGATTTTCCCAAGCAAAGTTACTTTTGTTAGAAACAGGCCATAAGACACAAAAGGGAATTTTCTGGTTACATCTCTTCAAGATGTTTAGATATACTGTAAGTGAAGTTTAAATAGAAGTGAAGCTTTTCTATCTTCATATATGTAATTTTCACTACAAATACAATATAGTACATGTTTGTTAGCATTCACTGATAGCTGAGTTAAGCCTTTACTTTGCATCTTATAAGTATATGGATAGTTTTCTTTTTAATGGGGCATTCTACAGCTTACTCAGTATTATTTCAGCACTCTCCTTGATTATATCCTCTAATAAGGGCCTCTGATGAGCTTAAATTGCCTATGATAAAACTTTACTCAAAAGCAATAATACACTTGTGTTTACAAATGAGGAGCCCTGAGAGTTAGAGATAATTTCTAAACAGACATTCATGTTTATTTATTTATCAATTTAGGCAACACCTATTTCACTATCTATTCTAAATGACTCTGGGTAGTTTACAGATTCAACCTGTTTGGGAGCAAAGAAGGAATTTGAACCTGTTTCGGAGGGAGATGAGAAATTCAGCCTTTTTTGAAGGGTAGAAAAAAAATAATTCAACCTGTTTTGGA